TGGATAGTGCTGAGCTCTTATGGCCGTAAAGCTCTAATGTAGGTTTGATACTTCCAGAGACCCAGTAATCCCGCTCTTCCCTTTAAACACACCAAGCTGTGAAATAAAGCTGTTTTCTCTTCTGTGTGTCTTGTGCTCATGTAATTGCTTTCCTCTTCCAGGAACTCCAAGTTTTAGCTTGTGCTGCCCTGGCTGCAGCAGGGGAGGCTGTGGCTACTATGTGAATGGGACAGAGTAGGATCTATCAAAATGATGTGTTTGGTTATATGCAGAAATATATATTCTATTATGGAAATAAGATATATCTTTGCTCAGTCATCCAGGAAGGCTTAGAAGACAAGACATTCCAGTTACAATGAGCACAGTTATCACCCAGATCTTGGTTTAAAATACCATTCTCAAAACAAAACCTAACAAACAAAAAACGGAATTAGGTAGGGCTTCTTAGAAAAACTAATTGCTGGTTTTGGTGCTGGTGCAGGAAATACACAAAATTATGCCATAGCACCTAACATCTAATAGTTGCAGAAAGTAAGAAAATACTAAAAAGTGTAATTGAATAAAACAAATGAAAGAAAAATACAGAAATGGGAAATGGATACAAGAGCCAAAGGAAGACTTCCAGTGGACAGAGCTGGGCAGTAGCAGCAGCAGCAGCAGCAATGAGGAATTAATTTTAGGCTATGATGCAAAATGTAAATTATTTAATTCACAGTACTATAAATGGTTGTATGAAAAATAGACAAATATGCTGTGTAGAACAAGCCAGAACCTCCTTATTTATTTGAGACAGGAGCTTTCCACACAGCCTTCCCCTACATTTGGAATGTAGATCAAGCTGGTCTTGAACTCACAGAGATGGCCCCGCCTCTGCTTCATGAGTGCTGGGATTAAAGGCCCACGCCACTATGCCTAGCTGTTATTTATATCAGGGTCATGCAACCCAGACTGATTTGGACTTGTTAAGCAGCCAGGGATGACCTTGGACTCCTGATTTTCCTATCCCTCCCAAGTGCTGGCACTGCAGGTATGCACTATTATACCTAGTGTTTGCAGTGTTGGGGATCAAACGCAGGGCTTTGTGGATGCATAGCAAGCACTTCATTGTAAGCAAGGGCACAATAAAGAAATCATTGAAACGGTTGCTCCCTGATTGGGGGAAGATTTTACATTGTGAATAAGAGAGAGAGAACAACCAGAGACATCTGAAAAAGTCCAAAGCCAAGAGAAAAAAGAATCAGACAGGACAAGACAAGGGCTAGGAAGCAGGGCATGGGAACATGAGAGTTATAGGGATGGGTAGCTTGTGGGCAGAGGCCTGTAAACTGGACCGGACTTTAGGGTAGAGGAGGTGGTGAGAAGGGCGAGGATGCTAGTGTGGGCTTTTAAATGCATCACAAGTGTGTGTGAATGGGCACCAAAGGAGACAGAACGCCAGCATAGGCATTGATACGAAGCCCAGGCATAGTCAATGGAGAGACATTTGTCCCCCCCCCAGACTCAAGGGACCATAATGGAAATGACTCATTTTGGCAGACAGAAACCTGTTTCACAAGTTCCTGAGGAATGCTGAAAGTATCTGCCAGCAATCCTATAGCTCTGACATGAGCTGAGGCAAGATGGTCATTTTTGACCAAGTCAGTAGGTCTGCTCTGTGGGGAGCTTGCAGATTTTCCTTCAGGCCTCATGTTTACCAACTGAGCTATATCCCCAGCCTTTCTGAACAATCTGCTTAGGTACTCCACCTGCAATGAGTTGGAAGACAGCCGCTATTTTAAAGTTTAAAAAAAGTTAAAGTGTATGGGTGTTTTGCCTGTATGTGTGTGGACCATGTGGCTGCCTGGTGTCCACAGAGGCCAGAAGAGGGCATTGGGTCCTCTGCAACTGGAGTTACAGATGGCTGTGAGCTGCCCTGTGAGTGCTGAGAATTAATCCAAGCCCACCAGAAGAACAGTCAGTCTTCTTAACCACTGAGACGTCTTTACAGCTCCACGGAGTATCATGTCCCATGCCCCCCCCCCCCCCCTTTATAGGGAATCACACATTTCAGATCAGAGCATGGTAGTGTGCACCTGTCAAATTCATGGCTTCCTATCAATTTCTGAACAGCTTTCCTTATGATTCTGGGAGATTCTAATAAGCTCTGCTCCCTACCCCCAAAGGAGTCAGATTCTGACTTTCAGTATCTTTTTGTCATCAGGATTCAGGGATGGGGCCCACACTTCCTCAGATGCACCCCTACAGCCCTTGATTGGGAAGCAAGGTGAGAAAACAGAATCTTTTTTTGGAAGTGTCATTTTGTTGGTGTAGGAAATAGCAGAACAAAACAAAACAAGCCGGCGGTGGTGGCGCAAGCCTTTAATCCCAGCACTCAGGAGGCAGAGGCAGGCGGATCTCTGTGAGTTCGAGGCCGGGCTGGACCGATAGCCTCCAAAACAATACAGAGAAACCCTGTCTCGAAAAACCAAAACCAACCAACCAACCAACCAAACAAACAAAACACAAAAAACAAACTAACTCAAGGTTATTGCTGGTAGCTGCACATCATTTACTCTAAGGGACTGCAGATGTCGTGTTATGTGGACATGTAAGCACATCTCTGGGAAAATCTGTGAAAACTTGAGGCAATAGGTTGATGGTGTATGCACTTGAGTCTTCGGGCAGCCCTGGCAGGAGACCCTGAGATGGAACCACCTCTCCACACTGCCCCCAAGTTCCCGATCTACAGAGCCTATGCGGAAGCAAATGTTTTATTGATGTTGGCTAGTGAGCTTTGGGGACAATTGTTATGCAGCAAGAGGTTACTGTGTAACAAAGATTAGCAACTACAAGCTGCTTTAAACTTTGCTGTAACTTGAGGGAAAGGAGAAAAATGTTAATCTCACAGATTAGAGGATAAAGTCCACCAGCCCAAATCATCCTGGCCAAATTAATTAAAGCAAGCTTTTTTTTGGTTCATGTACATGGGCTGTCTCTCCCTAAAAAGATCAGCATTAGATGTGGGTATGATAAAGGTTGTTATGGAGTAGGGGGTTTCTAAGTAGGGGTTTTGGCAGGCAAATAGGCAGGGTTATTGTGGCTCGGACGGAAAGGTATCCTGGCACTCAGGAGCCAAGGAATACCACAGGTCACAGTAAGCATAGCAGCTTACAGCCCTACTCCAGGGAAAGACTAACAGCCGGGGAGAGGGCTTTCCCAGCTCCAGGGAAAGACTTCCTCAATGTAACAGCCCTGCTCCAGCAAGGGAGGGCTTCCCCAGCAAAGCTGTTACAGTTTGCCTCTGGTCCCCCAGACTCTGTTCTGGTCTCCAGAGTAGATTCGCTATGGGAAGTGCTATAGCCTTGCTTCTCTCTGCTCTGGTGAAAAGTTACTTCTCTCCTCTCCTCCACTCAGGGGAGGGAAGGTTGTCGCACCTGCTGTGCAGCCTGCATCCGAGAATGTAGCGAGGTGGTCGGGATAGATGACACAGAGACCGGTCGGTTGCTTTTAGAAAACTTTATGCTTCCCAAGTCAGCTTAGGAGGAGACCCCCAAGAAAAAACGCTTCCCTTTTTAAGGACTTCTGCCATCCATCTACATACAATTCTCCAACTTCTCACCCTCCTGGCTGGTGGTTTAATCTCTGGCCCCAGAATCAGGGAGACACAGCAGGGAGCAGGAAGAGGCATCTAGCCATAGGGGAATCAAAGTCATGGTTTTTCAGTGAGCAAGCCCTTAAGGGAGCCCTATCAAGAGCTTTATAGCACTGAATTGTTTTCAGTAAACATTATCTCACAGCTGCCTGCTCCCAGGCCAAAGGGGAAGTGGGTTTCTGCTCAAGGTCTGGTGTCCCCACAGAAGGTCTCACCTAAACCCAACTCAAGAGATTTATTGGGAGGGAAGAATCTAGGAGAGTGGCTGCCTCTGCCAGCCTTGAAGACCTCAGCCGGACCCCACAAGCTGGACAGGCACAGGGCTTATATAGGGCTTCTTAGGGGCAGAGTTTTTTCAGGGAGATTTCCAGAGTGGGGATTGGTCAGGTTTGGCTAGATCTCCTGCTTAGGGATTGGGTTGGTTTTCTGCTCAGGTTCAGTGTCAGATTTGGCTCTGGTTTCAGGGTCAAAGTGTGTTTCTTTCTCTGGTCCTGTTTAGCCTTTTGGCTTTAGTTTTAGGGCCAGGGTGCATTTCTTTCACTGGCTCTGATTCCAGGGACAAAGTGTGTTTCTTTGGCACTGGTTTCAGGGCCAGGGTGCATTTCTTTGGCTCTGGTTGTAGGGCCAAAGTGTGTTTCTCTGACTGGCCCTTTTTTCCTACAAAGACGGCGCAGGCTGGTTTACCAAGATTTGCCCTGGGAAGTGTGGAGTTAAGCTGTTGCAGAATTCGAATGTACTGGGAAAAAGCAAAGACCTAGGCTCAATTCAAATTTATATTAAATGAATTTTTTTAATGCTAGTAGGACAGCAGTCTTAGTGCCAAATAGCATGCTGTGTGGAAGAGGGGTTAAGGTGAGTGAGGTTTTAAACTGATACCAGAAAGGTGTATATTGCAGCTACTCACGGAACCCACAGGCCGGCAGGAAAGTTGTTTTACTCTCCTCAGTTGTCTCTTCCTTTCCCACTATATAGTCATAAAAAGCCCACAACGATAAGCAAGTTTTACAGAAGCAAAGGCGGCTAGCTGTTACACAGCCCATTCTCCTATTCTTATTTCACCCGAAGGCCGCTAGGATCTCCCAGGCACTCCAGATCAAAAGGTCAAAGCCTTAGGTCCCTTAAGGCTTGCCTGGTTCTTGAGTCATCACAGGCGACCCGTGTCAGCTATGAGCACCCTAATGACTGGGATAGAGCAGTTCATTTCTGGGCAGGCAGACACAGTGCAGATCCTGCTGGCGCGGAAGCGCACAGGTCGACTCCGGGCGCCGGAGCCAGCTCAGCGCCTGCGCTGTGCGCATCTCGCCCGCAGGTGGCGCTGCCGTGCGCCGAGCCGCCGATCGGAAGCTCAGGCGCTCGGCGCTCGGCTCGCGTCCGGGGCTGTAGGGGGCGTGGGCGAGAGAGAGGCGAGCGCTCGGATGCCTGCGAGGCGCAGGCCCGGGGCCGCTCGCTTTCGGTTTCACCTTCGCTCCGGGAGCCGCGGCCGCCGCCCGAGGCTTGCGGTCCTGTCGCCATGAGGCTGCGCGTGCGGCTCCAGAAGCGGACCCGGCCGCTGGAGGTGCCGGAGACGGAGCCGACGCTCGGGCAGCTGCGCGCGCACCTCCGCCGGGCTCTGCTGCCCGAGTGGGGGTTCAGGTGAGCGGCGCCACGGTCGCGGGCGGGCTCGGGGAGGGCGGTCGGTCACGTGACGGGCCCGGGCCTCCCGGGCGGGGCTGCGCTGACGACCTGTGACCGTGACGCTCGGCGGCCGCTGCCTGCCGGGCTCCCGTCTGCGAAGCCATGGCGCAGCCCCCCCGGGGCGCCTCGGTCCTCCCCGGTGAGTAGCCACTTCCGGGGTCGCGGTCGCCGCCGCCCGGGGGCGGGACGCGCGGGGCGCTGGCGTTCGGCCTCCCGGCGGGCACCATCAGCCGTTGAGACGGCCCGGTGGCTGGCTTGGAGAAAGAAGCCCGCGGTGACAAACTTGTCGCACCCTCGGCCGCTGTACCCCGCGCCTCTGCTTAGGGCGGCGGGAACCAAGCACAGCTGAGCGGGCAGGTGCGTCACACTGCACCCGACGCTGTGACTTTCCCGTTGCTACGTCTTAGGACGGACGCGTGCTCCAGGCCGGTGGGCATCGCCTCCAAAAGACAGGCGTGACCCCAGAGAGTTTGCAGTTTGGTGGCAAAGTCGAAAAAGGATTAAGCTCTGTTATTAATGCATGCATGGGTTTGCAGCTTCTGTGTGTGTGCAGAAGGTATATTTAGGTCGCAGAGAGACAAGTATAGGGACGACCCACTTCAGGTGCTGAGCTAGAAATTTGAGCTCGAGAATAAAATATTTTAAAAAGATGGACTCTGGGCCCTTCCCCTTAATTGACATTTGTAATGACTTTTCACTTTATTTGTAGGGAATTGAGCATAAAAAGGTCCTATACGGATTTCTTTTACTTTCACGCCCCCCCCCCCCCGTTAACATATTATTGATTAAAAATGAGCCTGAGCTACACCGTTCGTTATTCCTAGCACTCAGCAGGCAGAGGCAAGGGGATTGCTATGAGTTTGAGGTCAGCCTAGTCTACATAGCAAGCTCCAGATCAGTTACGTAGTTAGCCAAAACGTTAAAAAAAAGCCATTTTTCATATTAAAAGACTTAATATATTACCATAATTCTACATAATGGTGACCTGCACCACTTCTTGGTGTAAAGCTGAGTGTTTTATATGGTGATAACAATTACCCCCCCCACACATGTTGAAAATTCTCTTTTAAAGGTATTCATAGATTATATTACTTTTCAGTTAGGCAGGCAGACTTGAAAAGTTATGACACCAAGAGCCCCACCTAGTTTCTCTTTCATGCTGGTTTTCACAGATGAGGTTGATTAGTTGGGTGGAATTTAAGCTGCAGCTCATGAAAGTAAATTCATTCTTCTGAAATGTTGTTTATTTGGGAAACAAAAGGACAGCTTCCAAATTTGTCCATATGGCTGTTGTTTCTAAAGAGTATTTTCTAATTAAGCAGCCCAAAGTTTGGTGTAAAATAGATTTTTAAAGTTTGGAGCTTCTAGAGTTGCATTTTTTTGGTGAAATGTACTCCTTCATCCCCCATAACTTCAGAAAATAGTACCTTGGAGACATTTAGAACTGTGGGAGGGGAAACTGGCATTTTGATTAAGCAGACCGTTCCTTATGTTTTCTACAACATGAATTGTTTGTTTTGGGAGTTTTCCCTATTTCTGCCAAAGCTGAGATGGTGTTTTCATGGGCACCTGGCAGATTTTTCACCTGTTTGTTTATCAGAACTTTTCAGGAGATGGAACAGTTTTGACTCCAGTAGTGTCTCTTTACTTGGTAAGAAAAGAAATGGATGTGTATAGGAAAAATGAGTCGGGCTGGGGAGGTGCTGAAGCCCTGGTGCCGGGCTGGGGAGGTGCTGAAGCCCTGGTGCCAAGCTGGACCCCCCACGTTGGAAGTCCCAGCGCCCATGTAAATTGGAAGGAAAGCTGTGCATTAGACTGATGTGTTAGGGTTAGGAAGCTCCTCAGCTTCAAAGATGCTGAAATACTGAAAAGTGCATGCTTTCGAACTGATGAAAATGTACGTTGATGATGAGTACTTCTAAACAAGCAATTTATTTCCCTGCTTTTTCATTACTCAGTGCACGTAGTTTAATGTATCCCAAATACTGGAATGGTGGAGCAGGTAGCTCTTACTGTGCTCATCCGTCTTTCTTGGCAGCTCTGATACCCGATTTGCAATTACATTGAACAACAAGGATGCCCTCACTGGAGATGAAGAGACCTTGGCTTCATATGGGATTGTTTCTGGGGACTTGATTTGTTTGGTTCTTGAAGATGACTTCCCTTCATCTACAGATTCAGAGCGTTCCTCACTCCAGAGTAATGACCAACCTTCTTTGGCTGCCAGCTCTCCTCAGGCTAGCATCCCTGATGAACAGTGGAGCGATTCTTCCCAAGGACAGGCCACCCGATCTGATGCCTGGAGTGATGACAGTATGGTGCGTATTAGAGATGAAGAGATGAAGGACAATGATTGATGAGGTCTATCGGCAGAATGGTTAGCTGCAGTCAATTCTGGGCACTTTCCTTTTAACTGCTAAAGTTCTGGACTGACATGTTGGCATTCTAACATGCAGGGTTTTGTAGTTTTGTTCAGGGGTTCCCTGAATCTATATGATCTGCTAGTTGAGTATAGAAGGGAGCTGTGGAAAAGGAAAATAGACGAACAAGACTCAAAACCGGAGGAGAGGAATTTTGCCTTGTGACTAAGTGTAAGTTTTCCATCATTGCACTTGGGATTGACCTTTAGTGAGAGCAGGGATGGTCTGTGTAGACCCGAAAGGAGCTCTGTTTAGTGAGAGCAGGGATGGTCTGTGTAGACCCGAAAGGAGCTCTGTTTAGTGAGAGCAGGGATGGTCTGTGTAGACCCGAAAGGAGCTCTGTTGCACTTTGGCTTGTGACAAGACTGCTTGGAGGGGATGCTCAGCTGTCCACACATGGAAGGCGATAAGCACTCATATCAGAGCAGCTCAGTGGAGGCCGGTGCTCCTTGGTCTTAGGAACAGGGTTAGATTAGCCCATGTTGGGTGTAGAATTAGCAGCTTAGAGTAATGCTTCTTAAAAATTTCCACATCTGTTTTGTTTCATGCTACTGCTTACATAGTAACTGGGGGAAAAAATGAAGAGATTATTTTTATAATTTAGATTGATATATTCCCTTTAATATAATGATTTTTGTTCAAAGAAAATCATGGAAATGTTTTGTGCAGTATCATCTTTTATGTAGTATGAATTATCATAACCTTTAAAATAAAATTTATTTTTTGAGACAGGATCTTATTATACAGATCAGGCTGACCTTGAACTCTGAATTCTGCTTAAGCCTCCCAAGTACAGGAATTATAGGTGTTTGTTACCATGCCTGACTTTTAACAAGTTGGATTTCTTTGTAACTGTTAGGCTGAAGCTCTGGTTTTGCAAAAGTAAATGTCAGGTCTGGCTCAATTGCAGTCCGTCAGCCTTGGTTTATGCCGCATAATGTAAATTCCCTTGCCACTCCTGTTTCTGGGAATACAACGCTAAAACAAAGAAACTTGCTTTGTATTAAGAGTTGAGCACAAACTGGGATATAATCTTTCCAAATAAAATGAGTATAGCAATGTAGCTTTACTAAAGCGTATTCTACGTCTAAAAGCCCTAATGGTGAATCTGCGGACATGGGTTCATTTCAAACGTCGATGAACTGGTGATGTTTATTGGTTTTCTGAGTTACAGTTGTAGTGTCTGTAAACGGGCATTGCTGTCTCCCTTGCTCAAGTTATCATGATCACATGATCACAGTGAGCACTGAAAGGCACAGATGAGAACACCTGCAAACAGGAACACGACGCTGTAGTGTGTCACCTCTCAGCAGTTGTTCCGCAGACCTTTACTGAATGGGACAGTTATGTGCCCTCAACCACAGGGATGACTTGGGTGGTCTTGTACTTTACACAGACTTGCAGTCATGGAGAGATGCAGATGTGTGAATTGAGAAGTGGCAATACAGTATGGTGAGGTCAGTAATAAAGACCATAGCATCCCTTGGGTCTTAAGTGGGAATGCTGCAGTGGGTAGGGAAGGGTTGGCAGAAAATGAACAGATGACAAGCCAGGGAACGGGTGATGGCAGGCCTTACATGTCTAGGCATTTGGACTTAATTTTCTAGGCCTGCACTCCTCAGTCTGTTTCTGACAAACACTTGTGTTGTGAATGTGTAGTAAGTGCAACCGAGATGCTAAGTGGTGAAGAAGGAGAATGCATTTTGCTTAATTGCACACATTACTGCTGTTTTTAGAATTTTCAGAGCTTTTATAAAGTTAATACTGGATCCTTTGAATGTAGGTTCAATTAGGCAGACATAGCATGTTATGTTTCTACACTAGACTCTGGGCCAACTCTTGCCCTAAGACCATTTAACAGCATAATCTTAAGGTACCATTGTGGGAAATGCCATTGCCTGTCTTGAGGAAATCCTGGTACGCTTTAAACTGGGCATATGACATGATTGGATTCTTCATTTCCAGGAAACCTGGCAGGAGTGTGTGGTGTGTATGAGACAAGAAAGGGGAAGCAGGCACTTTCAGGGGTGCGGGGGACACATAATGGGGAGTCTGAAGCACCTGTGGTGTAGAAGTATCGCTTTAGAGGTATTCAGGCATGATAGTAGTTGGGACTGTGATGATATCACAGCTGGGTACTATTTAGTAAGTGTGGAGACTTACAGGTGAGTTCCAGGTGTTTAGTCTGGAGGTGTAGGCTGCAGTCTCATTTATATATGAGAGCTTCCTTAAGATGTCTCCTTTTTCTGAACCTCATGGTCTGCTAAGTTTAAGGTATAGAATGTCCTAAGTAAACTTAATGAATTTATTATTGTTCTCATTTTAGGAAGGGCCTAGTCAAAATGTTGAAGCTGGGTCAATTCTGGATGCCATGGGTATGGAAGAGGATTCTGGTTGCTGTCCATTGGAGCCAATGCTCTGCAGCGAAACAGAGGATGGGCAGGTGCCACATTCCCTGGAGATGCTGTATCAGTCAGCTGGCTGCTCCAGCATCAGTGATGCCTTGATAGTGCTGGTGCATCTCCTCATGCTTGAGTCAGGCTACATACCTCAGGTAAGCTCAGCTCAGATGTCTTGCAAGGTCTCACTGGGTACTTTAGTCACTAGGGCTTGTGGTGGTCTTTCTTCCTTTATTTAATGTGGTTGTTGTTAATGTAAAATGCCAGTAAATGTGCCCTTTCCTTCTTCATCTTCATTTCCTTTGTTAGCGTTTAGTATTGCGGAGGTAATGGTAACTGGTTAAAAAAGGACGAAAGGTTTATATATGGTAATATGCGGATAAAATGCAATGGTGTGGACTGAGTATGACTAACTAGGCAGTTTCACGTTAATGGCTTTGTGCTATGGTTGCTTATTTTCATTCAGCATGTGTTTGTTAAGCATCTACTAATGTCAGTGTTTTTTGTCCCTGTGTGAGTTCTAGGAGAGACGCTTGCACCTCCAGTCCCAGGGACTCTAGAAAACAGTTAGAGCTAAGGAGTACTTGGGATCTTACAAGAGTGCAGATTGGTAAACTTAGGATGGAGCGAGCGGAACTTCTTGCATACTTCTGCGTAGTCCCTGTACTTCTGCTGGCCGGTACACATGCCCTGTGGGTCACGTGATGGGATGGATACAAAGATAAAAATGACTCAAGGTCATTTCATTCCTGTGCACACCATGCATTGACCCAGAAATGAACACATCAAATATTGTCCTTGTCCTCAGAGTTCACAAATGGGCGCGAAAGACCAGACAAATATGACGTACTAAATAGTAGTGTAAATTGATGAAAAGCATTAACAAATGTGCAGTCAGAGATGTGAACAGTGTTAGAAAATAACAGTTTTCTCAGAAGGGCTATATGAAAGAAGTGATATTCAATCTAAATGAAAGAAGTGACTTTGCTAGATAGAAATGTGTGTCTTAGAAGAGAAAAATTAATCCTTATTTCTGTGATGTTATTTTACCTATAAAAACAAAAATTTTGATAGAAAAATAATTAAAACATATACTCCTTTAGTAGCAGTATTATTGATATGCACATTCTGCTAAGGAGGCTGTGCATCTTTTCAAAAATGTGTGATGTGTGTATGTGGGGCGTGTGTATATCATGCTGCATGTGTGTGATGTGTGCGTGTGGGGCGTGTGCATATCCTACGGCATGTGTGTGATGTGTGCATGTGGGGTGTGTGCATATCCTGCATGTGTGTGGTGTGTGCGTGTGGGGTGTGTGCATATCCTACTGCATGTGTGTGATGTGTGCGTGTGGGGCGTTTGCATATCATACTGCATGTGCCTCAGCCAGAGCACAGTTCTGAGGAGTGGCTCTCCACCTTCACCTTTGTGTGGGCGTTAAACTAGGGCATCAGGCTTCTGGACAAGCACTTCACCTGTGGAACTGTGTCAGTGACCAACGGGGGTGGAGAGCTTGGTAAGTTAGGGGAGTTCTGAATTTTGGGTTTTAAAATCATTTTCCTGTCATTTCACTCCTCAGGGGACTGAAGCCAAAGCAGTGTCAATGCCTGAGAAGTGGAAGTCGAGTGGCGTGTACAGGCTGCTCTACACACACCCTCTCTGCGAGGGGGGCACCGCTGCGCTCACCTGTGTGCCTTTGGAAAACCTCATCATTGTAAATGGTAATGGAGTGGTGCTGTCATGGTTGCTGGCTGATGAACTAGTAAATAGTTTCTCCTTAAGCATTTTATAGCCACTTCAGGGGCTGGCTATTAAGAAATAGTTCTGAGTTATTTACAACTTAACTACTCTACCTCTGATAACACGCCTGGAAGATTAAAAATGTGAGGTTGATGTTGGTTTAGGACATCACCCTTCACTCTTGGGGTAGCTCCCTTTTTTCTTTGTATTAAAGCACATTTTATTTTTGTTTTGTGTGTGTGTGTGTCTTACCTGTGTGTCTGTCTGTGCAGCACATGCGTGCAGTGCCTTTGGAAGCAGAAGAGGACCTCAGATCCCCTGGGACTGCACTTGCAGGTGTTTGTGAGCTGCTGTGTGGGTGCTGGGACTTACACCAGGCTGTTCTGAAAGAACAGCAGTGTCTGTAGCTAACGACTGAGCCACCTCTCCAGCCTTCATTCTGTGAGAGCAGTGGTCATAGGGATGAAACGAGTTTTACTGCGTATAAACTGTTTGAAGAGGATTTTTGGGCATGACTATGAATGCCTCTCTCTGTTTACTTCTTAAGTCTTGACCTGGGCTTATGAGGTTGGAATGAGGTGCCTGTTTTCCCAGTTTAGCATCTCTGAGTGTTGATACACAGAAACGCTGCTGAGACTTGAGGCCTTAGTGCGTGCGTGATTTAGCTGCCCTTCCTCAGGGAAGTGGCCTGAATAAAGAACCTCTTTGCTTTCTCCTCTCCTACTAGGAAGCTTCATTGAGGTGGTAGTACATCCTATCTCTGGATTTCATTTCAGTTTGATGTCACACAGGTTCTTCCTAATCACCATTGGTCTCTGGAATGTTCTCACAATCTCGAATATTAGAGATTCATTTGGGTGATCTTACATTGCATTAAGATTTTTTGTTTTATTTCTATGTTTTTGAAATTGAGTCCTATGTAGCCCAAGCTGACTTCAAATTCCTTTTGTAGCTGAAGCTGACCTTGAACTTTTGTCCTTTGGAATTGTGCACCATCCTACCTAGCTAACACTGTTTTGCTTTTGAGGTTATCTTTTCAGATATTTAGAAGGTAATGTTTGTATTACAGGTAGTCTTGCTTTGCTACTTGAGGTCAGGGGTGTTCACTGTGTTGTGCAGCTCCTTGTTTTTGCTGAGATGATGTCAAATGGAGTCCCTGTTACCTCTTTTGCTTATTGAGGCCTTGTGTTAGAAAAAAAGCCATGTAATTTATTTTGAAAGCTAACATGCCATTTTTTTGTTTTAGAATTAGAAGATATATATATATATATATATTTGATCTTCTCATCTAGTTTTTTCCTTTTAATTGCCCAATTCTCTTAAATATCTCCCCATTTCAGTTTTAACAGCTGGTGATCCTACCCATTTTCAGGATGTGAGTAACGTCCCTGTTAGTTCTTCCCAATTAGCTTGTATAGCTTGTAGTGTGGCATTTTGTACCCAGAATGACAATAGTTTCTGATTTATTACGTCACAACTTGGAAGATGGAAGTTACCAAACATAAATAGCAAATGTGAGGTGGTGAGTTTTACCTCAGTTTCATGTAAAGGTACCTAATGACATGCATATAATACCCTCTCTTTACTAAGTATTTTGATAATTTCTTAATCTCTGATGTTTTACTCTTGAATTCTTTGCTGGCCATTGCAGGCTCAAGTTTTTGAAAAGGAACAGTGTCTTTAAACCTTTCACCCAGGGCATGACTTGGTGCACACAAGCATAAGCCCATCACTAGCTCTTTCATAAGCTGAGATGAAGAGTGCCTTTGTACACAAAACTAAATTTGAACTCTCTGGTGATGTCAAGAGTATTGGTCTTTTGGATCTGGAAAGGACTGTGATGTGAAAACTAGCAGGGTTCTGTTAATGAACTAGGATTGACTGTTGCCAAGGGTTTAAGAAAATGAATAGTGTTTTAGTGACCTCATTAGAAATAATAGTCTTCTGCACTTGCCTCGTCCTATCACCTTGCTGCAGACCTGTCAATCACTAGGGAGCTGCCGTTGGTGATGCTGAGTGGATTATGTATGAAGACACTCACTGTAGTCTTTAAAGGTGTGTTCGAGGCAGATTATTTTTGACCTTGCTGTGGAGAAAGAAGGACTCAGAACAGTTTGTTTGGAGGAAAGTATCTTTAGTAAGTGGAGGAAAAGAAATGCAGGCCTGCAACTAAGAAGGGAAGCCACCCAGGAAGTGACAAATTGCTTTATCATTTTTCCTTTCATTTATTTACAGCTACAGTAAAAATCGACGGTGGGATTAAAAATGTGAAGTCAGTGCAGCTGCAGCCAAGGTCCTACATTTGTGGAGTGGAACCAGGTGATGTAACCCTGACTTAGCTCTGGAGGCTCTCTGAAAAACACAGCCTGGAAGATGATGTTGAAAAGATTAACCATTTCTAAATGATACTAAAGCAGCTTCTAAGCCTATGTTGCTTCTAAGAAAGAGTTTAGATGTTTAGGGTTAGGGGCGTAGGTCAGTGTAGGCCATTTGTCTGGCATGCGCAAGGCCCTGCCTGCTGCTCTCCCACAGATACACTGGGACACAGAGCAGAGAATGGGTTATGATCTGAAGAACTTGTTTCTTTCTTATAATTCTTACGAGCTTTGAATACAAAGCTCATGTTCCACTATTGTGTAACTGACACAGAGAAGATCTGTTTCATAGAAGTAATTCAGTGTGGCTTCTTTATTGAATATTATTAGAGAAAAAAACTACTTGAATTTTTTATATAAATTTGATGTAAATGCTACTATTTAATGATATTAGCATTTCCCTAAAATTGGGGTTCTAAGTATGGCTTTGCCTGTATTCCATAAAATTATTGATTGTTGCAAAAATAGTCCAGTTTCTCTTTTTACTGTTTCTGGTTAAAGCTTTACTGAGAGACCAGGTGGTCAGCAGGAGTAGTGGGTGGAGAAGAATGGATTTTCCTTTCTGTTTTGTGCTGAGTATGTGCTGTCCCTGTGGTCCTTAGGGCAAACTGCAGTAAATATTAAGAGGAGAATGGGAGTGTTGGGTGGACAGGAGACAGCATTTACAGCATCATCTCTCAGACAAGGCTGACCCAGGCTGTTCCTCTGAAGATTGGTTCCTGTGAATCTGGAGGGAGATCAGGCTTGGGAGACTGATGGGAGGAAGAGGAGCCCAGCATGTTCTTCGATATGCATCCACATGGTGGCTCTAGGCCAGTCTGAAGTCAGCCTGTTAGCTCTTTTACCATCACTCCTGTAAGGATTCCTACCCCCTTACCTCTGCCATACAATCACTCCTGTGAAATATCAGTACCCCAAATACACTCCATATGTAAATACTGTACCCCTTTTGATTCTACAATTAGGTTCAAATTAGTACTCTCCAAGAACCAATTTTTGCCACCCTTGTGGTGATCTTGTCACTGTTGAGAATGTGTGCTAGAGTCATGAATCTGTAAATATGCTCTCTGTCATGATCAAACTTAGAAGTTTCTCAGCACTCTGTTTCTCTCCATCCCAGGGAGGACCTTGCTATGAGTATTCATACTCCACAACAGGCTTTATGCTCATATTTTACAGATGAGGAAGTAGTTCTAGAGAAGGCTAAGTCATTTCAATGTCCCAACCTAAGTAGTAGAGGAATCAGGGTTGGAGTAGATGGTCTGACTCCCATGTTTTTAAAAACAAACCTTATCTAGGGGTCTAGCTCAGGTTCCTGTTCTTTATCTGTTAAATATGAAACAAAGATGTAAAAGGGCGGGAGGAAGTCTTTCTCTGGAAAAGTTTATAGATTAGTACTTTAGTGTCAGGTAGGCATGTGTTCATTTGGCAAGTCACTTTTATTTTGTTGTCGCTCGTAGTTTAGACCCGGTTAGTAGACTTTCTCTTTGGAGCCACCAGCCAGCTCCCAAGTCATGACCTGGAAACTTATTATTAGGAATGCTCAGCCTTAGCTCTTATTTTAATCTGTTTCTTTATCTACATTTTGACTCGGGCTTTTACCTTTTTTCTTTCTGTATGTTCTACTTTCCTGCTTCTGGCTGGTGGCTGCCTGGCTTCTGGCCCCGGGTGTGTCCCTCTCTTTCTCCCTCGTACTCTTACTCTCTTCTCTCTCGAGCTTAGATTTTTCCCTCCTACTCAGTTCTATCTGCCTGCCAGCCCTGCCGGTCCTCCTCCTGCCTAGCTATTGGCTATTCAGCTCTTTATTAGACCAATCAGGTGCTTTAGGCAGGCAAGGTGAAGCAGCAACACACCTTTACATAGTTAAACAAATGCAGCACAAACAAACGTAACACACCTTACACGTTAATTTTCCTCAGCATAACCAAATGTAACACATCTTTCCATAGTTAAAATAGTATTCTACAACAGACCCCAGTAGCTCGTGTTACTCTTCTAAGTTCCTACTCAGATACTTATAAGTCAGTTTTTATTTTGTTAGTTTTGTTAAAGAAAAAATTTATTGAAGGTCTGAAAACAACTCTGCCAGACTGACTTTTTTCTACACACTACATTGTTATCTGTCATGCTAAGATGCACATCAGACATGATATACACATGAAACAAGGCACCACTATTTAATACTGTAAGCAAAGGCAAAGTGCTGAGGGAACCTGATTGTTGATAGAAAAAATTCAAATGAGTAGAGTTTCACATTTGTAAACAGGCCTGAACCAAATTGATTTTTTAATTGAAAATAAAATGTTTTCTCATTTGATATACCCTGCTTATAGCTTCCCTTCCCTCTACTCCTGCCAGTTCTCCCCACTTCCCTGCCCTTCTGTCTCTAGTTAGTAAGGAACAGGCTTCTAAGAGATAGCAGCCGGACATGACACAATAAAATGTGATAAGATGAAGCAAAACCCTCACATCAGAGCTGGACACGGCAACCTAGCAGGAGGAAGAGTCCCAGTACAAGAGTCAGAGTCACAGACACCCACTCTCCTCACACTCAGGAGACATAAAAACACTAATCTGAAAGCTTCAGCATCTGCACAGAGGACCTGGTGCAGACCCACGCAGGCCTTGTGCTTTCTGCTTCCGTCTCTGTGAGCTCGCATGAGCCTTGCTTAGTTGAACGGAACGGAACGCCTTGCTCTCTTCATCCCTTCTGACTCTACACTTCTGCCTCCTCTTCCATAGCTTTCCCTGAGCTCTGAGGGGAGTGATTTGATGGAGACATTCCATTTAGTCTTTCTGTGTAATGTCTGGCTGTGGTCTCTGTCTGTTCCCTTGTGCTGCCAGAGAAAGCCACTCTGTTGATGACTGGATAAGCACTTACCTGTGAGTGTTCTGTTGGTTATGCTTGCATCTGTAGTTCTTGACCGTTTGCCCAGCTTTTATATTTCCAGCATTCCCTCAGACTCTGTTTTTTTAATTGTCTCTTTTTTAGCTTTCAACCCTTGCCCTGTTTGAATTGTTTCTTGCAATTTTTGCTTTGTCTTTTCCTCCATTTCTTGCATTTTTGTTTGTTTTTTTCTTCCATTTCTTGCATTTTTTGGTTTGTTTTTTCTTCTATTTCTGTAAGGGATTTTCTCCTATCCTCATTGGGTGCCTCTATTATTTTCATGAAGTTGTTTTTAAGGTCATTCTCTTTTGCTTAATTTGCATTGGAATGTTCTTTCGAATTGGAGTCTTGCTGGTGTAGAGTCTCTAGACTCTGGAGGTGTCATTTGTTTTTCTGTTGCAGAGTGTGTTTTTGTATTGTCTCCTTCCCATCCCTTCTTTCAGTGGGTGCAGAAAGAGCCTCTTCCTCTCCTGGTGGGTAGAGGACCAGGGTTCCCTTCCTGGTCCTAGTCCTTGTCCTGTGGGTGGAGAACGAGAGTAGGACCCTGGGGTACATTGGCTCCCGCTGTGATGGGAACTTCACTGGTACCTCCCAAGCACAGTAATGAGGCCCAGAATCAGGTCCTGGTTTGCCTGGACCCATGGTTGGAGGAGGAGACCAGGACGCTGGGGTACGTTGGCCCCCACCGGAGGACTTTGTTGTTTATTCTGTTTTTCAAGACCAGGTTTCTTTGTATAACATCCTTAGCTGTCCTGGAACTAGCTCTGTAGACCAGGCTGGGGCCTTGAACTCTCAGAGATCCACTTGCTTCTGCCTCTCATGTTCTGGGATTAAGGGTTCAGTATTGTTTTAGTTATCCAGGGTTTTTGTTGTTTGTTTTTCCATATGAAGTTGAGAGTTGTCCTTTCACGATCTGTAAAGAATTGTGTTGGGATTTTGATGGGGATTGCATTGAATCTGTAGGTTGCTTTTGCTAAGATGATCATTTTTACTATGCTAATCCTACTGATCCATGAGCATGGGAGGTCTTTCCATCTTCTGATATCTTCTCCAGTTTCTTTCTTCAGAGACTTGAAAGTTTTGTCGTACAGGTCTTTGACTTGCTTGGTTAGAGTTACCCAGAGATACTTTACATCTTTGAGACTATTGAGAAAGATGTTTCTCTGATTTCTTTCTCAGTCTATTTATAATTTATATATAGGAGGGCTACTAATTATTTTTAGCTAATCTTGTATCCAGCTACTTTTCTGAAGAGTTCCCTGGTGGAATTTTTGGGGTCACGTATATATACCATCATATCATCTGCAAATAATGATACTTTGACTTCTTCCTTTCCAGTTTGTATCCCTTTGACCTTCTTCAGTTGTCTTACTGCTCCAGCTAAGACTTCAAATTGTCTGTTGCTGATTTTAGTGGAATTGCTTTGAGCTTCTCTCTGCTTAGTATGATGTTGGCCCAATGCTTGCTGTAAATTGCCTTTATTATGTTTAGGTATGTCTTTTGGGTTCCTACTCTCTCTAGGACTCTTGTCATGAAGGGATGTTGAATTTTGTCAAGGGCCTTTTCTGAATCTAATGATCATGTAGTTTTTTCTTTCAGTTTATTTACATGGTAGATTTTATTTATTGATTTTCATACGCTGAACCATCCCTTCGTCTGTGGGATGAAGCCTGCTTGATCATGGCTGGTGATCTTTTTGATGTATTCTTAGATTGGGTTTGCAAGTATTTTATTGAGTATTTTTGCATCTATGTTTGTGAGGGAAATTGGTCTGTAATTTTCTTTGTTGAGTTTTTATATAGTTGGGGTATACTCACAGTTCTCAGGGTAACTGTGGCCTGATAAAATGAATTGGGCAATGTTACTTTTGTTTTTATTTTGTGGACTAATTTGAGGAGAATGGGCATTCTTTTCTAAGTCTGGTGGAATTCTGTACTGAAACTGTCTGGCCCTGGGCTTTTTTGATTGGGAAATTTTAGTGACTACTTCTATTTCACTAGGTGTTACAGTTCTATTTAAATTGTTTATCTGATCTTGATTTAACTTTGGTGAGTGGTACCTATCAAGCAAATTATCCATTTCTTTAGATTTTCCAGTTTGGTGAAATACAGATTTTTAAAGTATGTCCTTATAATTCTTTGAATTTCCTCAATATCTATTGTTATGCCCCCTTTTTGTTTCTGATTTTACTAATTTGGATATTCTCTCTCCTTTTAGTTTGAATAAGGGTTTGTGTATTGTGCTTATTTTCTCAAAAAACTACCTCTGTTTCATTGATTCATTGTATCGTTCTCTTTGTTTCTATTTCATTGTTCTCAGCCCTTGGTTCCATTTTCCCTGCTGCCTACATTTCTTGGGTGAGCTTGCTTTGTTGTTGCTTTTGAGCTTTCAGGTGCGCTGCTAAGTTGCTACTATGAAAAATCTCAGTCTCTCTCTCTCTCTCTCCCCCTCTCTCCTTCCCTCCCTCCCTCCCTCCCTCTCTTCCTCCCTTCTTTCCCCTCTCTCCCCTCCCTCTCCTCTCGCCCCTCCCCTCTCATCCCCCCCCTCTCTAGGCATCTAGTGCTATCAACTTTCGTCTTAGAACTGCTTTCATTATATCCTGTAAATCTGGGTATCTTGCATATTCGTTTTCATTGAATTCTTGGAAGCCTTTAATTTCTTTATTTCTGTTTTGGCACATTTTTCCTTCAGTAGAGTTGTTCTGTTTCCATTAGTATGTAAACTTTCTGTTGTTGTTGATACCCAGCTTTAATCCATGGTGGTTTCGTAGGACGCAGAGAGTTACTACAATTTTCTGGTAACTGTTGAGACCTGGTTTGTATTTGAATATGTGATCAATTTTGGAGAAAATTCTATGAGATGCTAAGAAGAAGATATATTCTTTGATGTTTGGATAAAATGTCATGTAAATATGTTAGGTTCGTTCGGTTTATGACATCTGTTAGCTCCAGTGGTTCTCTGCTTAGTTTTGTCCATTGGTGAGTGTAGGGTATTGAAGTCTGCTGTCAGTGTGTGGGGGTTAGTGTCTTTGTGTTTGGGGAATACATGTTAAGAATTGAAATGCCATCTTGGTGAACTTTCATCTTATGAGTATATAGTATCCTTCCCCATCTCTTGATTAGCTTTGGTTTGAAGTCTATTTTGTTAGATATTAAAATGGCTAAACATTTGCTTGGTATATCTTTTTCCAACCCTTTACCCTGTGGTAATGTCTATCCTTGATGTTGAGGTGTGTTTCTTGGATGTAGCAGAAGGAGGGATCCTGTTATAGCATCCATTCTATTAGTCTGTGTCTTTTTACTGGGGAATTGAGACTATTGACACTGAAAGATATCAGGGACCAATAATAGTTAATTCCTGTGATGATGATGATGATGATGATGATGATAATGTTGTTGGGGTGTGTGTGTCTGTGTGTGTGTGTGTGTGTGTGTTCGGTGTGCTTCCCTTTTGATTTTGCTGGTGTGAGATTATTTCCTGTGTTTTCATGGGTGTAGTTAACCTCTGTTAGGAGGAGTTTTCCTTCTAGCACCTTCTGTAGGGTTGAATTTGTAGTTAAATATTGTTTAAATTTGGCTTTATTACAGAATATCTTATTTTCTTATCTATGGTAATTGAAAGTTTTGTGGGTCTAGTAGTCTGCGCTAGCATCTGTGGTCTCTTAGAGTTTGCAGCGCATCTGTCCAGGCCCTTCTGGCTTTTAGGATCTCCATTGAGATGTCAGGTGTAATTCTAATAGGTTCTGCCTTTATTTGCTATTTGGCCTTTTCCTCTTGCAGCTTTAATATTCTGTATGTTTAGAGTTTTGATCATTATGTGGCAAGGGTCTTTCTTTTCTCGTCCGATTTATTTGGCATTCTGTAAGCTTCATGTACCGTTTATAGGGATATCCTTCCTTAGGTTAGGAAATTTTTCTACCATGATTTTATTTTCTGGACCTTTGAGTTTGGTTTCTTCTCCTTCCTCTATTATTATTATTATAGGTTTGGTCTTTTCATAGTGTCCCAGATTTCCTGGATGTTTTGTGTCAGGAATTTTTTTTTTAAGATTTAACATTTCCTTTGACTGATGTATCCATTCAGTCCAGCCGTTCTTCCATTTCCTGTATTCTGTTGGTGTAGCTTGCCTTTGTGTTTCTTGTTTTCATTTCTAAATTTTCATTTCCAGAATTTTTTCTTGTGCTTCATCTATGTTGTAATATTCAGGGGCTGCTGTGGTAGGATAACTGGGCTTTAATGGAGCTACACTGTCCTAGCTGTTACTGTGTTTTTATGCTGGTGGCTTTACATCTGGGTTGGGATGATTGCAGGTTTAGGTACTGATTTCTGGGTAGGTGTTTGGTTCATTGGTTTCTGCTTTCTGTATGGATTTTCAGAATGTGTTGGCTGTATGTTTCCTGTTTTACTGGCCTGCTAGGCTGGCGTGTTCACAGGGAGTGCTTGCTGGTGTCGGAGGCTGTTGGAAGAGAATGGGGCATGGTCTTTGGGATCCACAGGAGGTGTGGGGGTGGGGAGGCTGCAGCTGATGTTCTGCTGCAGTGCTAGAGGTGAGACTTGGTTGGGTCTGGGAAGCAGAGAGAGGAGAAGGCCCTAGGGCAGCCTACCTGGTCTTCTGGCAGGCATGGCCTGTGCCTGCTAGATTTTGGGGCTGGTATTTGGGGACAAGTTGGCTGAAGGAGGTTAGAAGGGGATGTCCTGGGATCTTCAGGAGATGTAATCAGTGGGAAAGGGAGGCTGCAGCTGGTGATCTGTTGCAGTGCTAGGGATGAGACCAAGGGACTGGTTTTGGGTGAACAGAAAGAGGAGTGCCCACATTGATTTTCTAAAGTGGTATTATCGTGAGAGATTTCAAACTCAACACAGATTTAAGCACTAAAGGAGTTGAGTACATATGTCTTCTTTTCTTATGGTCAGATTAAAATGAGCATGTTACTGTCACAGTGAAATTTGCAAGTGTAGAATGTAGAACATGTAAGTGTCGGCCCTGGGTGTGGGGCTTCAGGTCTCAGTAGCTCTTCTCTTTATGGTGAGGGGAGGCATCAAGTGAGGGTTAGAGAGGAACTGTCTAGGATTGTTTACTTGGACTGGAATGGGGCCCTCAGGTGTGTGGTCATGTTTCTGTTACTGTATTTGTGAGTCACCCAAGCTCTAATTGAAATGTGGATCTTGACCAGGAGGTGGTTGGGTCTCAGAGTCTGTCCCCTGCCCCAAATTTACTTTGCTCTTTATTTCTGTTTCTTTCTGTCTTTAAAAAAATAAACAGTGATGGGCAGTGGTGGCGCTCGCCTTTAATCCCAGCACTCGGGAGGCAGAGGCAGGCGGATCTCTGTGAGTTCGAGACCAGCCTGGTCTACAGAGCGAGCGAGTTCCAGGACAGCCAAGGCTACTCAGAGAAACCATGTCTCAAAAAAAAAAAAAAAAACTGTGTGTGAGAGTGTGTGTCTGTGTGTGTGTGTGAGAGAGAGAGAGAATTATTTGAAATTAAAATCAAATTAAATTGTTCTCCCCTCCTCTCCTCTCCCCCCTAACCCTTCCCATACAACCCTCCACTTGTTCTCTCTAATTCATGGCCTCTATTTATCCATGTGCTAGTGGTGGTGACTTAGTGTTTGTTGCTGTGATAAAACACCATGACCAAGAGAACTTGGAAGAGGATGGGTTTATTTCATTTTAGAGTTCAGGCAAGTCAGGGCGGGAACCTGGAGGCAGGAACTGATGCAGAAGCATGGAGGGTACTGCTTATTTGTTCCATAGCTGTTCACTCAGCCCAGGGGTGACGCCATCCACAGTGAGCTGGGCCCCACATCCATCAGGAAAGCGCACTACAGGCTATTTATGGGGCATTTTCTCACTTGAGGTTTCCTTTCCTAAAATTACTGTAGTCTGTTAAAGTGACGTAAACCTAGCCAGCACTGCTGGTTACGCTGTGATTGTAGACACTCGGAAAAACCAGGCAGATAGGTCTGCACTTCCACAGTGTCCCGCGGGGGCTGAGGACAGACTGTCTACTGTGGTTTTAGGAAGGGGGAGTGAAATAGTACATTTCTCCTGGAGGAAACTGCTGCTGTAAGGGAAAGCTAGAGAACTGTCCAGCACTGTTTGGTTATGTGCTTGTTGTGGGAAGTACTGTGTTTTTCGTGGGCTCTGTGTTGCTCAAGAACATGCACACTGCATAGGGCTCACCACAGACTGCAGTGCTACAGACCCCTCAGGCTGTTCTCTGCAGCCTCTAAGCTGTGGCTGAGGTCCCCCATTAATGTTTGCAGCTGAGATGGACTCTGGTGAGTCGTGCGCTGTGCCTCATCTCCTAAGGACCCTGATTTCCTTTATCTGTGGGGGAGTTACTCATGAATCCTTATCATGTGGTTTGACACCACTTCAGGTTTTGTCTGGTTTTATGTGACTTCTACTTTGTAAAAACACTCCAGGGGAAAGTGCAGCGAAAGCATACAAAGATCTTAAGAAGCTCTCTCGCCTCTTCAAAGACCAGCTGGTGTACCCTCTTCTGGCTTTCACACGGCAAGGTGAGGATGGGAAACAGTCGCAGGTTGAACAGTCTCATTAGCTCTGAGACCTGACTTCTCTTTCTGTCCTACCAAATCCTGCTTTAGAGTCACTGCAGTTTTTATTTCCGAAGTGTTACCTACTTTCTCTTTGTACGTTTTACCCAGAGCCTTTTTTCATTCTCTTTCTTCTGAAATGGGTTTATCTCACTGTGTAACCCAGGGAGGCATCTGACTTGTTAGGTAGCACAGACTTTGCCTCAAAATTGTGATCCTCCTAGCTCAGCCTCCCTGCAACACCAGGTTTTCATGGCAATGTTTACATTGTATCTTAATGGTTGACATGATTCCTTTTCCATGTACAGTTGTAACTTGAAGGTGAAGGGTATATCTTAACAGTTTTGCATTCTCATTGTCTGGTCCATAACAAGTGATCAATAAGTATGTAGAGCATGTAAAATGGGTGTTTTTCCTTGAATTTTAAAATTATGTTTACATTTATTTATTGTGTGTGTGCGTGTGAACTCACATGCATGTACATGTGCACATGTATACTTGGGCCACTATGTAGGACATATGTGGTAAGAGGGACAGCTTGCAAGAATTGGTTCTTTCCTTGCGTTATGTGGTCCCAGGGATCTGAATTCAGGTTGTCAGCCTTAGTGGCAGGTGCCTTTATCTGCTAAGACATCACTGACTCCCATTCTTTTTTAAAAATCACATCTTAAAAGAATTAATTTTTTTTATCTGTATGAGTATTTTGCTTGCATGCATGCATGTTCCATGTGTGCTTGCAGTGCCGGCAGACATCAGAAGAGGGCACTGAAACCCCTGAAAATAGAGTTAAAGACTGGGTGATGGTGGCACATGCTTTTAATCCTAGCACCCAGGAGGCAGAGACAGGCGGATCTCTGTGAGTTCGAGGCCAGCCTCTTCTGCAGAATGAGTGCCAGGACAGGTTCCAAAGCTGCAGAGAAACCCTGTCTCAAAACCACACACACACACACACACACACACACACACGCACGCACGCACGCACGCATGCACGCACACACACACACACACACAAACAAAATAAAAAGGAGCTAAAGGAGGTGGTCAGCCACCAAGTGGCCCTGGGCAGAAACCTGGATCGCAAGGGTATCAAGTGCTTTCAGCTGCTGGACTGTCTTCCCAGCATTGCTGTTTGTGTTTTTTTGGAGGCAACATTTATTGGGCACTAAATATTGTACATTGATGAATGTTGAATAGTACTTTGAAGTAGATTTTACTAGGACTGTTACGAATAGTGAAATTGGCATTTGGCAAGCTTTCTATTTTATAAGATTCCATACAATTTTACAGTCCAGCTCTCTCCTTTGTCTCACAGTGAAGCACTTGCTTCTAGTCGTGTGTGAGAGTCTGCTGTGGCGGAAGGGTGCCCTGCCTTGGGGGCATCTGTGTCAGAGCCCAGCCAGGGTCCATCTCAAGATTGGGCGCTGAAGTCAGGCAGGAGTGAGGCTTGATGGCGGTGGCTGAAAGCACCGTTCAGAGAGAGCGGAAAAGCTTTGATGATGCTCTTTACACTAACTCCAGTTGCTGCTTTCTCCCCGTCTAGTACTGAACCTTCCAGATGTATTTGGGCTAGTTGTCCTTCCGTTGGAGCTGAAACTACGCATCTTCCGACTTTTGGATGTTCATTCTGTCCTGGCTTTGTCTGCAGTCTGTCATGACCTCCTCATTGCATCCAGTGACCCACTGCTGTGGCGGTGTTTGTATCTTCGGGATTTTCAAGGTGATTTACATAATGATCAGTGTCGGGAGAAAGGCTCTTTGCCTGCGGTTGCCATGGCACTACTCAGCTAGCTAAAGTTTTTAAGTGGAGGTTTTTCCTTGCTGTTCTGTTTATCTGCAGCTTGTTTTTAAGGAGTAGCTGTTGAGTGGAGAAGCTCTGGCTTCCTAGTGTCCTGGGCCACACACTTTCTCCACTCCTTTTTTCATAGTTTCTGCAATACAACCCTTTAGCCCCAATCAGCTTATGTCAGGATACGAAACAGAAGACAGGTTTATATTATCCAAAAGAGCGTTTTCAGTCTCTGACTTAGAATGAACTGCACGTCTACCCACTGCCTTGTGGGGGCAGTGTCAGCGAACAAAGCTGCTCGCCTTGGGGCGGGACCACTGTCAGCGAACAAAGCTGCTCGCCTTGGGGGGACCACTGTCAGCGAACAGAGCTGCTCGCCTTGGGGGGACCACTGTCAGCGAACAGAGCTGCTCGCCTTGGGGGGACCACTGTCAGCGAACAGAGCTGCTCGCCTTGGGGGGACCACTGTCAGCTAACGGAGCTGCTCGCCTTGGCGGGACCACTGTCAGCGAACAGAGCTGCTCGCCTTGGGGGGACCACTGTCAGCTAACGGAGCTGCTCGCCTTTGTTGTGCTGCTCTGGTGCTGTCTGCAATGGTCACATTTGTGACCAGATGGTCATTGCTGCAGTAATGAGACATTAGACCCTGTACCAGGATTTCTAGGACAAGGCCAGAAAAAGCCTGACTGTGAGCTTCCCAAAAAGAGCCTGACTGTGAGCCAGTACTGACATGGCAGTGTTTTTGAAGCTGTTTTTGGAATGAAGGGTGGGTCATGAAATTGACTTAATGGATTGTCAGTTTACAAAACAGGCAAAGACCAACAAAACCACAGTAGAAAACAGTGAGCTACAGCATGTGCTTTGTGGTTCCTGTCAGAAACATCCTAATGAAAATGAATACGCTGTTAGCATACTACCCTAGCTGTGGAGATGTGGTGGGTGGACCCCACTGCTTTAGTAGGATATCATAGTCATTTAGACCCTTGAACTTGAGAGGTTGCTGTTTAAGGGGTGGACTAGTCCTTCCTTTTCTTCTTTGGTTCACAGGGTCCTCATTCATTTCGCTTAAAGCCCTTACCTGTCAAACTCAGTGTTACTTTGTGACAACAGGCAGCAAATGTGGTAACAGTTAGTGGGCAGTGCAGGAAGGGGATGTGCCTCGCTTGGTAGAGTGGGTGCCAGCATGTACGGGCTGGGTCCCATCCCCAGCATTGCACACACCAGGAATGTGGGGCGTGACTGTAATCCCCACACGTGGGAGGCTGAGACAGAAGGCTTCTGTAATTCAGAGTTGGCCTGAGTCACAGAGTAAAACTCTGTCTTTAAAAAAGAAAATCAGACGAGCAAGTAGTTAAAAGACCAACATAGATGCAAAAGTGGCAGGCAGAAGCTGGCTGTAGTGTGGCGTAGAGAGGGGCGGATGTCCTTTCACCCGTGTTTAATGCTGTTGGTCTGATTCTTTTCTGACTGCGGGTCACAGCTCCTTAGTAAGCTGAGTGTGTAAAGACTGTATGGGCTAGAAAGCAATTCTCAGCCTTCCCAACGCTGGGACCCGTTAACCCCGTTAACACCACAGGCTGTGGTGACCCCAACCATAAAGTTCTTTTCATTGCTACTTCATAACTGTAATTTTGCTACTGTTACAGATTGTAATGTAAATGTCTGTGTTTTCCAATGGTCTTAGGCGACCCTTGTGAAAGGGTTGTTCAATCCCCAAAGGGGTCACGGCCCACAGATTGAGAACTCCTGGGCTAGAGCTTTCATAAACTTACAAGCTAGTTAATAACTTGTATTTCATGTATTTTAAGTACATTTAAAATAGTTCTCTGTGTTAGCCACACTGCTGGTAGTTGAAGCCACTTAGAGAATGGCGGGAAGGAAGTCTGGCCAGTGTGACTTCAGTAATGAATGTGGGCTGTAGTCCAGATGCTTAAGAGAGGCGGTCAGGCTGGGCCAGTGACTCCAGACATGGCTTACAGGCAGCTGGCACACGCACATGAGCCTGCAGCAGAAGACACATTATGGGACGACGAGGCATCGCTGCTAAGGCATCAGATGGCGCACAGAGCGGTTGCGGCCACTGAAAGGAGTGATGTGCGGTGCACGTGTGCAAAGGCCTCAGCGCTGCTTCATCGAGGGCGGGGTCCAGGCTCTCCTGTAGCACTGAGAGCATAAAGTGGCCTGTAATTCTTTATGTCCTGTTTTCCTTTGCAGATGGTACCGTCAGAGGCCCAGATACAGATTGGAAAAAAGTAGGTATTTTTAAATATGAAGACTAATGTTTATTACTCAAGTAACTAATGAGCAATAGTGAAAGGTATCTTTTCAGTTTTAGGGTGATGTGATTAAATCAATTTCAATTAAATTTATTGTTGACTGTTGCTACTGAGAATGTCTTCCAAGTTTAGGCTTAGTCTTTGTTTTCTTGAAACTATAAAGGAAAGTCTTAGTAGTTTTTCACTGAAATAGGAAACAGATTTTTTTTTTCACAAAAATAATTCTGACTGGGCAGTGGTGGTATATGTCTTTAATCCCAGCACTTGGGAGGCAGAGGCAGGCCTGGTGTACAGAGTGAGTTCCAGGACAGGTAGGGCTACACAGAGAAAGCCTGTCTCGAAAAACAAAACAAGAATTCTGTCATTGTGTTTGGGTAATCTAAAGCTGTTGGATAGCGTAGTAACTACATTGTGAAAAGAATAAGACACTTGGTTTTATTTGCAGATTTCAACTGTAAAAACCACTGATAGGCCTGTGGGAAACTACTTGGGATGAAGGACTAAAGAGAAATAATTGAAAGTCCTGGGATGTCTTCAGGATACACAGTTCCTGAGTGTGCCCTGCCGTTGAATGTAGCCACTTATTTATGTCTTACACTGAAATCCACTAGAGATGAAAGGCGTGCACTTGCCTGTGGCACCTGAATGTTATTTATAGCTTGACATTTTCAACAAATACTTAATGATGTGCAGGAAAGGCTAGCCAAGGAGCACTAGATTATATCCTTGGTGTATGCCACTGAGTTGCCCTTTGGACTTACTGACCGTCACTCTGTGGCAGTGTGCTTAGTGCTTGAAGAGCAGTGTACTTGGCACTGCATCTGGAGCTCAGGCTCTTCATGAGGTAGAATGTGCCTGCTTTTTGTATAGACTATGGGAAAGAAAAGTGTGGTGAGCTTAGACAGTAAGCCAGCCTAGACTGGTTATCTCTAACCCACTCACCATCCCCTCCCCTTCTTTCTACAGCTGTATAGAAAGAGGCACATACAAAGAAAAGAGGCCCAGAGGATGCGGCATGCCATGTTCCTGACATCACCACCCCACTCAATCCCATTTCGTCCCATTCCTGTCTACACCAGGGCCTCTTTGCTTACCTCAATGCTTCCTCCAGGGATCATTGGTGGTGAATATGATGCGAGACCGTTGCTGCCCAATGTTGGGGACCCAGCCAGCCCACTCATCATCCCAAGGCCAGGGGAGACACCGCCGCTCAGACCACGTTTTGATCCTATGGGTCCACTCCCAGGACCTAACCCCCTCTTACCAGGAAGAGGTGGCCCCAACAACAGATTTCCTTTCAGACCTGGCCTGGGTCGACCAGCTGACAGCCGGCTACCATTCATGTGACCAAGTTGGAGGCTTTATTGAAACCACAGTTGCTCTTTTCTTGGACGCTCATCTCTGCTGTCAAGTTTCTGGCTGTGGCAGTTGAAACTGGGCACCAAGGACAATGCTACTCAAAGCTGGGTTGACTTTGGGAATGCCGACTGCTGTCTCTGCCCTGGATTCACCTCTGGGACGGAGCTTGTGGTACTGATGGTATTCTGTGCTATGTTAATAAAGTAGAAGTTACATGGTGGTCTTTTGTAGTCAAACCTTATAGCATGAATAATTTTCATATTTGAAAATTGGCAGTGTGCTTCTAAGTGAGAAGAGGTGATTGCTCACAGGCGGTGTCTGCTTTTGTTTTGCAGTGGTGCCAGTCAGGCGAAAGCTGAGCTTACAAACCTGATAACAGCTGAGAACTAGTTTGCCTTTCCTTTTGAGCAGCTTTTCTGGATTCAGTGACCAGCTAGGATCCCCCTGTGTGGGGATCTGAGACACTGGGTCTTGACAGCAGAATTCTTCAGGTGCTATCAGGTACTTAATTCTTCAAGGCTAGGCCCCTTTTACTGGAAGAATGTTGTGCTTTTAAGACTTAAAAATACATCAAAATTCAACATTTATTTATTTTGCAGCAAGAAAAGGCCCAAACATAAATGACTTACACAAATAACGATAGGAACATGCTATAGTGACACATTTAAATTGGAATTTCTGCACAGGAATAAAATGCTATTAGCATCTGTAGGAAATAGGAATAGTGCCAATGTCTTCCTGTTTTTAAAAACCTGTTTTTGCATATTAGGAAATGGCTTGGAATGTATGCTGCAGGAATACTTTGAGTCCAGTGTTCAAGTGACACTTTGCTACACATGTGTTTCGAGTCTGCATTACAGTGAAGAAAACTGACTCTGATGTTTCTATAAGCTGCATGATCTTTAACAAAGAGGAGGATTTGGGCTGCTTATGATTCTATGATCTATAGGACAGTCTTCATTTGGGTGTGGCTGAAAGGGCCACCCTGGAACTTTGATCTATATTCCACCTTAAAACATGTCTTTGTGGCTGACTGTTAAGTCATGTAGTGTTATGTGCATTTGTGTGTGTGTGTTTGTGTGTATGTGTGTGCATGCCCATGTGCATAAGTGCCCTCGTAGGCATGGGAACCTGAAGACCAGAGCACCAAATACAAGTTTTCAGAACACAGTCGTTTCCAAGCGGTCCCTGGGAGGCCCCTGATGGTGCTGGTCCACCCTCTAGTTGACTTGACTGGCAGATGTTGCAAGTCTGAGTTTAAGACAGTGAAAGAGTGCTCTAAATCTAGACTTAGGCACCTCTCAAAACTTTGTATTAAGGAGTCCTCATAGCATTTCCTCTTGACTAACAGCCAATTTTATGTTTAGAAGCCTAGAAATCTTGTATGCTTGTCTGGCTTTTGAGCTTTTATGTATTGCTAATGACATAATGAGTGGAACCATGACGAGGCAGCGCTTGCTCACCGCATGGCTTTGTGATGTCATCTCCTTGCAGTGTAACGGGAGCAGGACAACCTAGAAGCCGCTTGCAAGTGCTTGAGAATGGCGCAGCTCCAGTGCATTGGCGTGTAGTGGTCTTCCATCTTTCTCAGCCTCTAAGGTCTCCTATAGTTGCTTTTCAGTAGTGGGAGCTTGCGTCTCCTCCCCGAACCACTCTAAACAGAAAATGCCCCTTTGGCGTGGCTGGTAATTCAGTTTTGGGAAGACCCCTTTCCAACTTGTGACTCCCTGTGTAAAACCCTGAGTTCTCTAGCTCTGCTTAGTTCTTCTCAGCCTTAATTCTTAACCGGTGGAGCCAGATAGTCCCCCTTCTTCTGTTCAGACTTGCTTCCCAGGCCTATTTTTTCCTACCCTGCCAATTTGAGCCTTGGAGAAGAGCTGGACAGCTGCTCTGCTGTAGCCTAGTGTAGGCAATGCTTTGTAACTACTTGGATGGCAAATCATGTAAAGATGTGTGTACGCTTTGCCCCCCTTGGCCTGGAGGAACTCTGATGAGGTTAGACGGACTACCATTGGGCCTGTAGGCTCTGCCTGTCTCAGCTTCCCCACTGCCGAGATCCCAGTGCCCACCACCATGCCCGGCCTTCACCATGGCTTCTGAGGATGGAGTGCAGGCCCTTGGGCTTGCACTGGAAACATCTAAATGACTGAACTGTATCTCTCCAGTCCCTTCTTGTTTTCTCTACTGGGACTCCCAAGTGAGTTGTAACATTTGTTTCTGATATTCTGAAGAAGTGCTGGGTGTAAGAAGTGTTAACTAGAGTCTTCTTGAGACTCATTGAAAAGCTCTGGGCATTTTTGGTTTTTCCTCTGGCTCTACCAGTTAGGTCTGTCTATGAAGCCTGCACATGCATGTTTCATCTGTCTGGGCTTCTGTGTCCTTTAAGCGCTGTGCTTGGTAAATGGACCAATGAGCCTTGCTTTTCACCCAGCCTTCCCATTCGTCTTTGCTCAAACCCAAAGTGCTGCCTCCTAGTAAAGTCTAAATATTAAACAGTTTAGTTTAGTCAGCTACTTGGGCCTAGGACAGCATCTGACACCAGCTTAGTGTATCAGCCAGTGTGACTCTGGGATAAGGAAGCTAGAGATACATGGGCGGGGGGAGAGGAGAGAGAGAAGAGGAGAATACCTCCGATCTTAATCTGTCATGTGCGGGTCACTAATTTGCTAAGTTTCAAGGAGAGTCCTGAGCACGTAACTGCCACTGAGCAGCCGCTCCAGCTTGCTTCTCAGGTGCCTCTCCGTGACATGGAGTTTTTGGCTGATTTTATGAGAGTGAAGAATTGTCACTCCTGATCATCCAGGATTAGAGCTAGAGCCAGCTGCATGCTCGGAGTTAATGCACCAGCCCAGAGGCCTCGGAGGATCAAGGGAAGAGAAATGGTGTGAATATTCTGTGCCACCCGTTTGGGAGTCCCTAGTCATTGTACACAAACTGGATGGGTCTTTGTTGTATCTCAGCATGGAGGGAAAATACTATTGTTTGGGTCAAAGTTGTAAAAGATTGCAAAACCCAATACATATAACCTTTCAGGGTCTATTTACAGTGACTCCCCCTTTCCTTTTGCCCTTTTCCACCTCTAAATGTCACAATTATTGAAGGTTAAAGTTTTGGGAGCAATTAGATTTTGGGTGAAAACAATCCATTGGAGAGATGTGGCTTCCATGGGACCTGCATATACCCTTGGCCTCTGTCTTCATTCCCAGGCCAGTTGGAAATTATTTGAAAGTGTTGGCTACACTCTAGTGTTAGGTCAGGGATCTAGACATACTTGCATGACTAGAGACATTTTGTGTGCTACTGTAAGGGATCTTGGATGGATGTCACTGAATGTTGAGATGTATTTAGGGGCAGATTGTAAGTGAGAACCTTAGCAGGGCTGGTGACTAAAATATATCCATCTCTGCCCTGCTGTAGAATGGCAGCCCAACCTCAGCTGAACTCCAGGACACCCGGAGGCTGGTCCAACTGCAGGTTCTGTGCCTTCTAACTGCAAGTTCATAGTCCTGTTGTGTGAAGCCAAGCTTCCTCTGCCTGTATAGCTAGTTCTGTCCAGGGCCATGGCCTACACTTGGAGAGACTCCCTGCTGCCTGTTACTACTCCATGTGTCTGGAGCTGTTTATTGTTGAGATATGGGGGAGGCTACTGTAGAGTGATGACTGCCACAGGCATTCCCTATATTCTTAACTACCTAAAGCACGGCTTCCGTGAAAGTTATCCCACCGTTTTCCAGAATGCAAGATCATCCCCCTTCCTGCTCTGTGTGAGATGCTTGACTCTTAGCGACTGATGCACGGTTTTCCACAGGGGCCACTTCAGCTGCCATCGTCAGGAGCAAAGGTTCCCCAGGTTTCCTCCACATGGTCCTTACAGTGAGCCCTGGCTTCTCAGGGTCTAATAGGGAAGCCGTCTGTTACTGAAGGAAGTTACCAGGGACCCACTAGAAAGAGGACTATGGTCTGAAATGAAGTAATGGGGTTTTGAGATGTTACCTTTCCTTCCTTCCTCCCTCCCTCCCTCCCTCCCTCCCTCCCTCCCTCCCTCCCTCCCTCCCTCCCTCCCTCCCTTTCTTCCTCCCTTTCTTCCTCCCTTCTGTGTAGCCCTAGCTTTCCTGGAACTCTATTGTAAACCAGGCTGGCCTCAATTCAGAGATCTGCCTACCTCTGCCTCCTGAGTGCTGGAATTAAAGGCATATACCACCATGGCTGGCAAGATATTACATTTTAGTGTGTTTGTTCTGGTCATTAGTCAGGCACTGTGTGTGTGTGTGTGTGTGTGTGTGTGTGTGTGTGTATGTGTGTGTGTGCACGCGCGCATGTGTGTGTAAAATGCAGGGTGGGGGGAGAAGGGAAGAGGATGCTGGGGACCTGCAAAGGGGACTCACGCCTCCTTAGGTAGATAATCAGAGAGCCAACAAGTGCATCCTCTTCTGTGGAGCTCACTTTACCAGACTCTTTGACACTTCAGATCTTACCCCCTCCCAGTCCTTCCTTCTGCCTCACCTAGCTTTCTTTGGAGGATCTAGAGAAAGGTGCAGGGCTGTCAGAGCAGAGGAGAGTGGGAGGAAGGAGCAACATCTGAGAACTCAGAGCTGTCTTCTTCCTTTGGATAACAACCTAAAGCCTGGCTGTGGGTGCTGGCCGAGAGAGCTCCCTTCCCTCACAGGGTAGTAGGCGGGGACGGGGAACACTGGCTGTTTGCCATGTGTCCTACCACATTCTGCCTCATCCCCATTGTCTCCAAGAGCATTCTGGAAGCTCTTGCCAGCCTCATTCTGTGATAGAAGAGCGGCTGAGAAAATGAGGAGGCCATGGGCAGGGTGGAATAGGCACACCCCAGGGACTGCCCTGCACACACTGAACCCATTGGAAGTTAGGGGGAAGGAGGCTGGCCTTTGTTGCTATGGGGGACACTAGACCTTCCATAGCCCACTCCTCACTTCACACCAGAGCATGTTGATTCTAGTCAATTCCAACTAGGCAGAAGCCCTGCAGTCTACAGCTCCAAATCGTGTCCTTGGTGGTCACCCGGCCTACACGATGTAGAGTCACAGCTGCTGTGTATTGCTTCAAGCCAAGGGTATGGGAAGAGGCCGGCACTTGCTCTCAGTGTTCACTTGATCATGAGGAAGGGAGATGCAAGGAGGAAGAGGATGACGCTGAGTGCCAAGTGGACCTCTGCAGCCAGGGCCAAAGCCGCCACTTGTGATGCTGAGCTCATCCAACTTGAAGGTGCATTCTGCAGAAGTGCAGGGTTCTAGTGACCAGGCAGGTGAGGGATCTACCCTTGTCTCTGTCACTCCAGTCTGGGCTGGAAGGACCAGAAAGTGATGAAGGCTTGCTGGGTGTGATGGCTCATTCGTGCAGTCTCAGCACTTGGGAGGCTGATGAAGCAGGTGTCACCATGAGCTTGAGATACATATTAAGTTTTGGGCCAGCCTGAGTTGCTGAATGAGACTGTTTCAAGAAAAACAAGCAGAAAACTCCCCAGAAACCATGGTGGCTGCTTCTGTGCTCCTGGAGACCTGGAAAAGCCTCCGATGATCAGGCCCCACCAGTCTGCAGAAGTTCCATAACCAGAAGCTGCTGCAGTTATGACTAACTCTTCCCTCCCTCATACTGTGCAGGGAAGGCACTCCTCAGGTGGCCGAGGGGGCTGTGCAGATATGCATGGCTATGTTCTGATGTCATGGCTCGTCCTGGGACCAGGGCGCTACTGCTGGCACCGACAGTGTTCCTAGCACCAGGTGCTTAGTGATGTGCTCCGGGAGGCAGTCTGTTAGAGGGGAGGAGCAAACGAGCCCTGGGGGCGGGGCAGGGGGCAGTCAGGACCACTTGGCTCTGCAGCAAACCATCTTAGTCTTAATGCCTGGAAAAAGGTTGTAGTGGAACTTTTTCTAGAAGAAATTCCAAAAGGCTCAACGTGCGTCCTGTATTCTGTGTCTCCTAACGAGAAGCACACACAGTTTCTGAAGGCTGTCCCACCAGGAGACCTTTTGTAAATGTGGTGACCTATTGACACTCTGTCCAGAGCAGGTAGAATGCTGAACCATACAGAGCTCATAACTATGTCTCCTTATCCTGCCAGAGCTCTCCATTCTGGATTTCCATCTAACCTTGAGGAAGAAACAGATTCTCAGTGAGGTCAGAGACACACAATTCTGTGACCCTCTCCACAGGAGGCACAGGCTCTCTCCTCTGGATTCCTGCTGTTGGCTCTAGGCCTGGGTAGCATTATATGGGGTTTCCTGTTCTGTTCTGAAAGGCCCGACTTGTTGCATAGGGTCTAGCTGCTTTTTTTTTTTTTTTTTTTTTTTTTTTGGCATCAAGGCCCCTATGAGGTCCAGCTGTGATGGGGCCTTTGTCAGCCTGTTCCAGCCAGGGTAGCACTAGCTTTAGGTCTGCAGTAGGCTCCTGTGCTGGGTTTTCCTGTATCTGTTTGCAAAAACACCATCCAAAAGTATTGCCTCTTGTGTTGCTGAGGTCTGACTACAATGTCAGCATTTGACAGAGGTGAGTCCAGGCCTCAGAGGCAAGCAAAACACTAATAATGCAAAAAAAAAAAAACGAGCCACACAGACATGTTACTTGGTACCAGTGGCAGGGGAGCAAGCATATGGTGGGTGTAGTGATGCCTTGTCTGTCTAGAAGGCCCGTGCTGAGGAACCCAGGGGCTCTCAAGGCTCCTGCTCAGTCAGACAGCATTGGAATGTCATGGTCATGGAGATGGGAGTGCATGTAGATCAGTTCCTGGATCAGAGGCATCTAGGAAGCATGTTTCCACAGGAACCAAAGCTGAGGAGGAGGGAACCAGAGAGAGGCTCCAGTCACTGAGTCCTCCCGCCCTCCAGCCTGGGGAGGGGCTAGTCGGAGAAGAGGCTGGCAAAGGACTTCCTCAGGTTGCGGATGGTCTCAGCCTTGGCCTCATCTTCGCTTGGGGTCCCTCGATGGCAGGCATCTGATGTGCTGAGGCTGTTAGTCAGGGACTGAGATTTGCTAAAACAGAAAGGGTTTGGGATGGTCATGGCTGGGACTCCTAAAGGAATGAGTCTGGGGCCAACCCTAGAGCCTGCTAGCTGAACCCAGTCATCAAAGGATGGTGAGACCATAAATGAGACATCTCAGTGTGTACATGGTGCTAGCCTAGAACTTTGGAAGGTGGGGAGGTATTGACTTGATTTTAGGTATAGACATTTGGGTTCCCAGAGGCAAGTGTTTGGCTTGAATAGACCTTCCAGCACGAAGCAGGGAGCATGCACTACTTCATTCTTTCCCTCATCCCAGGCAGCTCCAGGTATTCTCACAGAGTTCCCCAGCATTAGCTGAGAAATTGACAGTCCCTGTTCTAGGTTCCCTGTCTTGGTTGAGGGGTTGTCCAGATCAGAGAGGCCCGTGGGCATGTCTGTGAGGGTTGCCTTGTTAATGGGTACAGAAGGGCTGGACCACTGTAAGTAACACCATTCCCTAGACAGGTGGCTTTGAGCTATGTGAGGCAGGGGTCGGTGAGCAAGTCAGCTAACAGCATTTTCCCATGGTTCCTGCTTCAAGTTCTGGTTTTAGTTCATTTCCTGATTCCTTGAAACAATGAACTATGGCCTGGAAGCTGAACTATGGCCTGGTAGCTATAACAAATCCTCTCCTCCCTTTAGTTGTTTAGAAAAAGTCTTTAAAAGATTTTTGTTTATATTTTATGTGCATGGGTGCTTTGCCTGAATGTATCTCTGTGTGTTACATGCAAGTCAGAAGAGGACATCAGATTCCCTGGAAACTGAGTTACAGATGGCTGTGTGTCACCATGTGGGTGCTGGGAACCGAACTCTGGTGCTCTTAACCACTGAGCTGTCCATCCAGATCCTCTAAAATTGTTTTTTGTCAGAGTGTTTTGTCACAGCAACAGGAAGCTAGAACAGCCACATAAATTTGGGTTTGTTTGTTACATAGCAAGTGACAACCAATATAGGGATCATAAGGACATGGTGGAGTCTAATCTGTACTCTCTTATATTTTTGCCTGTGAGCCTAGCCTTAATCTGTACTCTGAAATTGCTGGTCCTTGCTACACAAATGCCAGTCTGTAGATCCACTCCCCCCTATTTGAGTTCTAGGCAAGGGTTTGTTCTTGGTCTCTTAGTTCCTGACCCTGAATCAGCTCATTGTGGCCATATTCTAACTCTGCTCTACACGCATTCAGACTCTGAACACTTACTTGAGGTGAGGGTGAGGTGGTGCTGACTTCTGGGGCTCTTCCCCCTGCTGGGAAGAGCTGCGGCTCTGCACGGGTACTCGGGGATGTGAGCCGATGCTGGCACTTGGCTTGGAGGCCTGGTTTGGAGAACTGCCACCAGATGCCCGGGCTAGCTGTGGAGAGCCCGGTGACCTTTGCTGCTGTGGAGATCCAGATTGAGGGCTCACAGGCTGTTGGCCTTGTGGGGAAAGCCTCTGTTGGGATGGACTTCGAGATCTGGGAGGCTGAGGAGACGGAGCTTGACGAGGGCTCCCTACAAGCCAAAGAAAGAGTTAAATTTCAATTTGTTTTGGGAGTAAGTGTGGCTGTGCACGTAAACACACACGTTTATATGAACATGGTTTTTGTAACTGAAAACAACACAGATGTCAGGTCTCAGGGAGGTGGTTGGGAAATCAGGAAAGCTAGATGGCAGGAGACGTAGTTCAGTTGGTAGAGTGCTTGTTTAGCACGCACGAAGCCCTGTAATGGATTCCCAGCATGCTTAGGCATGGTGATGCATGCCTGTAATCCCAGTATTCAAGTGGCAGAGGCAAGAAGATCAGGAGTTCAAAGTCATCCTTGATGATACAGAAAATTCAAGCCTCTGTCCCCCCCTGTGCCCCCCTCCCTACATAAATCCCTGTGTCAAAACAAACAGCAGCAACAAAACATCAAGATGCAGGAGCGTGGGCCGATTGCCACATGTTATGTCAAGTGTGTGCCAAGACTACACCACTAAACAGAAAAAGTAGTTATAACATAGTGTGTATTTGTTTTTCATTTGAGCATTGATGTGTAGAGTCATGTAAATAAACACTGGAAAAGTTGTTCATTAGAACTGGCCAGCTTCCCACTCCAATGGATGGATGGATTCGCGGGCCAATTGCGTCAGAAGATACACTGGTTGTTTCTTACAGCTCTTGGCTTAGCAAACAAATTAGTATTTTTTTGCTTGAGCATGTGCACAGCATTGACCCTAAAAAGATGAAGTTTATTAAAAGAAAACTTCATGCTCACTGAGTTTGAAAAATTAGTTAAACAAATTAATATGATTCTGTTATTTATAGAAATTAGTGAAAATGTTTTTAAGTTAGCCATGTTAATTCACTGAGTGTTTCCTTTAGTTGCCTCAATTGGTTTTAAGTTATTTTTCAACTCATCCAAATTAAGTTTGGCCGCATGTTCTTTAAAATGTCTTTATGACACTGCTTCTCTCTGGGCTGGAGAGGAGATGAGAACACACTACTCTCTGATGTTAAAGAGATGCTGTTCAGAGGTTTGAAGAATTGGTCCTGGGAAGAACAGGAAAGGAGGCGATGGACCATTTGTAACTATTACTATTGTCAAACAGGGGAGAAGGCTTCCTGTGTCAGAGGGTGGTGACTGACAACCCTGAAAAGCAATATGTCAGTCAGAATTGCTGGGAAGACAGCAGGCATAAATAGCAAGCTGTGTAATTGTCATTAATTGTAAATTATTATCAGCGAGGACTGAGCCCTCCAGGTCCACCCTTTGTCAGACCTCTTTCTAACGAGTTAGTGCTGTCCTGTACACAAGTCCCCATTACTCATCATGGAAGCTGTAAGGGAAATTGAGCTTTGAAGGGCTGTCACCACTTGCCTAGACCGGAAAGGCGGTGACGTGGGGGTGGACTGAATATGCGCACATAAACTACCGGGAGAGTTGCTAGTTCACACAGGGCTTGCTTTAGTTTTGTCTTAAAGACCCCAGAGTTCTATGTGTTGGAGGCTTCCTCCCTGTGTGTGTGACACTCTGGGGATGAAGTGGAATGGCAGTTAGGTCATTGGGGACGTGCCCTTTATCTCTTTGTTTCCCTGAGTCTTCCTCTGTGATGTCCCTACTGTGTGAATACTGTGTCATCACAGGTCCTAAACACAGGGCCAAGTGACTGGACCTCTGAAACAGGAGCTGGGATAAAGCCTTTCTCCTTTTAGAGTTGAGTTTAGGTATTTGGTGCTGGGAAGCTGACACCTACCATCTCCCTTGGGTAAACTCCATGCGTTCCCCAGGAAAAAGAAGAAAACCAGCACAGTAAGAAAGATGAAAGATGGGTGGGCAACCCTCTGTGTGCCTAGCAGGTTACTATCCACAAAATGTTTCTGTTCTTTTTTCCCCTTATTTTTTATTTAAATTAGGAACAAGCTTGTTTTACATGTCAATCACAGTTCCCTCTCCCTCCCCTCCTCCCCTACCCCTACCCCTGCTCCCCAGGGAGGATGAGGCCTTCCATGGGGAATCTTCAACATCTGTCATATCATTTGGAGCAGGGCCTAGACCTCCCCTTGTGTGTAGGCTGAAAGAGCATCCCTCTATGTGGATTGGGCTCTCAAAGTCCATTTGTGTACTAGAGATAAATACTGATCTACTACCAGAGGCCCCATAGATTGTCTAGGCTGCCTAACTGACACCCATGATCAGGGAGGTTCTGGGTCAGTCCTATGCTGGTCTCTCAGCCATCAGTCTGGGTTCCATGAGCTCCTCCTTGTTCAGGTCAACTGTTTCTGTGGGTCTCTCCAGCCTGGTCTTGACTCCTTTGCTCATCACTCCTCCCCTCTCTGCAACTGAATTCCAGGAGTTTAGTTGTGGGTGTCTGCTCTGCTTCCATCATCTACTGGGTGAAGGCTCTAGGATGGCATATAAGGTAGTCAGCAATCTCATTATCTCTGTTCTTTATTATGAAGAGATCTGAGTTATTTAAGCTGTGGCAACTTGTCACTATAGAGAATAAAACAAATCTTTGGGAGAAAGACTCAGAAATAAATGGGGAGGCTAACTCTGGCCTCTAGAACGAACACAGTTTTGGATAAGTTATTATATGTCTCCCACACATGAGTGTGTGTGTGTGTGTGTGTGTGTGTGTGTGTGTGTGTGTGTGTGTGTGCGTGCCTGTGCGTGAGTGCATCTGTATGCACAGGGCCAAACCTACACGTGGAGATTAGAAGGTAACCTCCCTCTCTCGCTCTCGCTCTCTCTCTCTCTCTCTCTGAGACAAACTTTCCAAGTATGCTAGTTGACAAACCAACCTCAGATTCCCTCCATCTCCATCTCTCCCACTCCAGGATTACACTGGCACACCAGTTTTTTTTTATTTTTAAATGTGGGTACCAGAGACCACAGCCGTATTCTCATGCTTGGAAGGCATGCACCTCACCCACGAAGCTGTCTCACCAGCCTCCCACTCCCTCATTGTAGCTCAGGCTGGCCTGACATTGAATTCATGTGGTTGTCCAGACTAGCCTCAAACTCACAGCAATCCTCCTGCCTCAATTTCTTTTGTGCTGGGACTCATCATGCCTTGTTATATTCTGAGAAAACTATTCAAATACAGATACTGAGAATTAAAATAACATCTAGCCGCTACTTTGACAAATAAGGTAACTTTTAGTTCACAGTTAAATATAATTTTGATTTTTGTGTATACATATTAGGGGACAGTCAATTTCAAAGACATTTGTATGAGGAAGAAAGTTAAGTGAATGAAGTTATGGAGAAAGGAAGGAAGGAGGGAGAGGGTTGAAAGGGATGGGGAGGGGGAGGAGGAGGGAAGGTCTTTCCCATAGAGCTGTGAAAGAGGAATCCATCTGGTGCCTCAGGCCCATTTCCTCTAAGAAGCAATGAGTCTTCCACTTTAATAGAATTATCTAGAAAGTTCAGGACAGGATGGAAATGCCTTCTGTTGAGATTTCAAGGAGGGCATCTCCATGCCAAGCTGCTTTGAAACCTGAGCTGGCCCAGAGCAGCCAGGCTGAGCACACTAATCTGCTATAGGGGATACACTCGCCTTGAGCCCATGCGTGGGAAACCCTCCACACCTGACCTTCCTCAGCAAGTCTAGCTAATCTCAAGATTCTTCCTGCTCTTGCTCATGCCGAATCCACTTTCTAACAAGCTGCTGCTCTTTTAGAGTAGGCAGGGACGGTTTGGAGGAAGAAAGTCAGCAGCTGGACTTCTTCCTTTTCTCCTCTCATTCTAGCTGGTTGGCTCACAAATGCATACCCAGGCACCACTAGTGGTTAGAAATAACATTTTCCAGAAAGCTTGAAAGTCCAGGCTTGTAAAGCTGCCATTTTCTCGTTGCGCCTTCCTGGGCAAAGCCTAAGTTTCCTACTTGGGAAAGGGAGACACTGATGCTTCCTCTGCAAAGAGACTGCAAAGAGGATGGAAACCAGTCCCAAAGGGAATGGTCCTAGCCAGGGCCTGGCATGTTAAATACTTGACAGTCCCACTGTTGTCTCCTCCTGACTCCTTCCCCGACCTTAAGGGGACAGCGGCTCTCCTCGCTGCCTCATCCTGCAGATGGACACAGTGCATAGTCCAAAGAGAAAGCATGAAGATGGATTGTCTAGACCAGCAGTTCTCAGCGCGGTCGGACCCCATTCACCATGAGGATGGATTGTCTAGACCAGCAGTTCTCAGCGCGGTCGGACCCCATTCACCAGGGTCGCCTAAGACCACCAGGAAACACATTTACATTATGATTCATAACTAAGTTGCAACAAAACTAATTTTATGGTTGGGAGTCACCACAACATGAGCAACTAACTGTTAAAGGTCACAACATTAGGAAGGCTGAGACCAACTGCTGTAGACTGTCTTCAGCAACACATCTTTATTGAATTAGTTATTACTTACTCTGTGTATATGAACATTCCCTTGGATATGCAAGTGGAGGACAGAGGCCAGTGAGTGTCTTCCTCTATTGCTTCCTACCTTAGTCCCTGTAGACAGTGGCTCTCAGCTTTCCTAATGCTGTGACTCTTTAATATAGTTTCTCCACATAAAATTGTTTCATTGCTACTTCATAACTGTAAGTTTTCTACTGTTAGGAGTTGCAGTGTAACTGGCTGATATGCAGGATATCTGATATGTGACTCCCAATGGGGCCACCACCCACAGGTTGAGAACCACTCCTTTAGACAGCAGCTGTCACTGAACTTGAGCCTTCCATTTCAGCTAGACTACCTAGTCAACAAGCTCCAGAGCTGCCTGTTCCTCTCTCCCTGGAGTGCTGGAGTTATACGCATGTTTGGCTATGCCCAGCTTATTGATGTGGGGATTTGAACTCAGGTCCTCATGTTTGCACAGCAAGCACTCTTACCTGCTGAGCCACCTCCCCAGTTCTCTGGCATTTCAATGTCCTTACTGTACACTGTCCTGAGTCTTACCTTGTGGAGGTGGCCTTGGCTGGGGCTGTCCTAGCTGAGGTCCCAGCTGGCCTTGCCCTGGGGATTTTACAGGTTTGGTCTGTGGACCCTAGAGCAAGAGAAGAGGAAGCCTTTGGTGACAAAATTTCTGGGTGAGAGTCGAGGCCTTATACACACGCACACTTTAAATATTACTGATATAAAACCCATAATGCATGATTCTTCAGTGTACCTCATGATAGATTCTCAGCATAGCCTTGGAGGGTGCTGCATGCACCCTCTCCCTCCTTGTCACCCCTTGAGTTTAACTGCTGTTCCTGTGTCTATGAAGGGATGTGTTTCTGTGTTTCAGGGGTTGGGATTGGGGGAGGAGTTGAAACCTGCTTTTTTGGAAGGTTAGCAAGCTTTGAAGAGTGGTCTGGTGGGGCCTATGCAGGGGAGGGTGGGAATGGGGAAGCAGAACACAGTAGCCTCTATTGACTTGTGCCCTGGGAACATAGGACATATGAGTACATGTATTCTTGCACACACAGGTCCACACACCAAATCTCAGGCCCAAGATGGGAACTGAGATGAACACTGTCAGTAGTCTGTCCAAAGGTGGGGGGAGGGGCCCTGCACGCCTCTGTCTCCACCCCATTCTCCTCCATGATGCCTGTCTGGAGTTATTGCAACCTCGGGGGTTTTCATTTCAGAGCCACTAATCTCCTTTATTCTCAAGAGAACCTTACCCAAGGTCTCAGGGGTGAGGGCACAGTGCCACCTGGCACCAGAAGTTGGCTCATCTTGGAGACAACGAGGTCGGCCATCAACTGCTTGTCCTCTTCCACATGCTCACCAATCAGGGGCATTGAACTGTCCATGACCTGGGCGGGAAGGACAGGAGGCTGAAGGACCCTGGATTAAGATGGCTTGGCTTTCTGTTCCAGGACTGTTGACTCTGGGCTCAGGACAGAACGGCCACTAGATGGCAATGTCCCCCACACAAACAGCCCAGCTGGGCCCTTGCTGCTGTCTGGGCCACCACTAGACGTCCAGGTCTCTCCATTTCCTTCTCAACAGACTCCTGGATTCCGTTCAACTCATGTTGCTAGAGTCCAGCAACGTGACCAGGGCGTGGGGAGCACGTGCTGACCTTTTCTGTCTCCGCCCCCTCGTTTCCCACCCCAGCTTCCTCCCAGGGTTGGGACTGGCCCCCTCTCTTCTGGCCCAAGGTTGAGGATGTCCTCAGAGCCAATCGCAACAACCACCAAACGTTTGACCCAGGCTGGAAGTGGCCCAGGGTTTATGGAGAAGACAGAGAGGACAAGTGGTTTTGGGGGCCCCGGCAGGATGCAGGCCAAAATTAAACTCGTACCCTAGGAGCCAGGCTGTTTTTAAGGAAGAGGGGTGGCCCAGTTCAGAGATGAGAGCCAGTGGGTGTGTGATCACTGGGCACAGGCAGATGACAGTGTTAAACAGCCCAGCTGAGCTTTCCTGCCATCTGGGCCACCACTAGACGTCCAGTTCTCTCCAGTTCCTTCTCAACAGAATCCTGGATTCCATTCAACTCACGTTACTAGAGTCCAGCAACGTGACCAGGGGCCAGTATCAGCTGTGTTGGCCCTCCCCTCTTTCCTTCAGGAACCCAGCCTTCCTCTGTCACCTGCCTTACCCTGCCAAACCCTCTTTGGCCAGCTCTGGGGTAACCATACAGTCTCATGTCCAGATCATGTCTCCATTTCTCTGTGACCACTCCTCACCTGGCTAATTCCTTATCCATTGTGACACACCTAGTCAGCCCTTCCTTCCAGACCCTCCAGGACCACACAAGTTCCCAGGATCCCTCTGTACCTATGTCTTTGCTGAGCTCACCTAACTGTCTGTTTGGAAAGCTTAGTCCCAGAACTAGCATTTGCCATTGGTAAGCCCAAGAAGCCAGGGTGGCCTGTGTCCTGGAGGTAGGGGTAAGCCTGGCCACCCTGGGAAGGTCCTGATGGTACAGTTTCACTGAGCACTGATGATATTTGGGGCACTGCTCTAAAAACTAGGTATCAATGACATCAGCTCTATTTCAGAGCAGCACTCTGCAGGGCTGGGGATATGGCATTTTGGTAGAAGGCTCACCTGGCATGCTGGGGGCCTTGACTTCCATCCTATAATCCCAGCATTCAGGAGGTGGAGGCAGGGGCCCGGGAAGTTCAGGGTCTTCCTGCATACGGGATTTGAGGGCAGCCTGGGCTAATGGGACCCTGCCTCACAGCAGTGACAGGCCTTTGAGAATGACTCTCCTCACTGGAGTGATGAGGAACCGACTGGGACATTCTGTAGCCTCAGAGGCCTTCTCACCAAGCACTGGGTGGCTCTGTGGTAAGACTTGGGAAGAGGCAGCCCTGGCCTGTGTTCTGCTATGGACATGCTTGGGGAAGTCTCTTGTCTTCTCTGGATCTGCTTTCCGCCAACTGCAAACTAAGGGTTCAGGCAGATGCTGAGTTGCTGTGACTTTCAGGGGACTGTGGGGACAAGCACCCAGTGTGCCTAGGGACCTGAAAAGCAAACTAGGGTATGGATCCCAGTAGGTCCCGTAAACTGTCCCTGTTGGAGCTCTCTGGGGTGGACGTCCTGCCTGGTCACAAGCAGTGTCCATCAGCAGTTACAATGGTGCTCTCTCCTGTCCCCGAAGGCCCCGGGGCTCCCTGCACCTGGCCTGCCATTCTTCCTACCCTGCCCACTGCTTTCTGCCCTGGGTTGTCCCCACATTCTCTGCAGTCGAAAAGGATGATGGAGCCTGAGGTCAGGAGCCGGAGTCCCCACAGTAGGCACGGTCAAAGGAAGTGGACACTCACTTCTCCCCAGTGAACAAGGTCATCCCCTGGGCCAGGTCAGAGGGGACGAGCCTCAGGGTGTCCCTGAGCACCCTCACCGAGCTTGCCACACAAGCATGCCCACAAGCGGAGCGGTGGCTGGAGGCGTGTTTTGGGCCTCAGCTGCCTCTTTCCCCTTCGCTGGGATAGATACATTTTCTATTCTGAGTCTCCTTCTCTTCCTGATCTCATCCCAAACCCAGAGGAAAACAATTCTCTAGTGTTTCCCAGCGAAAAAACCCGAATCTGAAAGCCATCCTTTTTATTTGAGAGTTTTCTGGAACATTTTTGAAAAGTTGTTTTCTTGTGTTTAGAAGACCCAAACTGGCTTTTTTGTTTGTTTGTTTTTAAATGTGAAGCATCTTTAATTCCTGACTCCCCCACCTCCGAGTGTCCGGAACTGGGGCTTCTGGGTATAGATGACTTCTTGTGAAAGTGGAGGGATCTCAGACACCAGAACTCGTGTGTGTGTCTGTGTGTTTGCGTGTATGTGTCTGTGTGCGTGTTTGCATGTGTATATGTGTGTGTCTATCTGTGTATGTGTGTCCTTGTGAGTGTGTTTGTGAGTGTGTGTGTGTGTATGTGTGAGCATATATGCATGTGTGTGTGCATGTGTGTGTATGTGTGTGGTGCTGAACCAAGAGAGGAGGGAATCACTTCATATTCTTCTTTTCTCCTTTTAAAGATTTATTTATTCTGTTTTGTGAGTTTTGCTTGCATGCATGTTTGTGGGTGCATATTCTGGATGGCCATGAGCCACCGTGTGGATGCTGAGAACCAGATCTAGGTCTTCTGCAAGAGCAAGGAGAGCTCTTGACTTTATGCATCTCTCCTGTCCCCTGGTCCTCATTCCTAGTGGGACAGCAGACCTTCTGCTCTCTCGCCACATCTGGACCTTTCATCTGGGTTAGAGCCTGGTGTCCAGAGTCAAGATGTGTGTGTGTGTGTGTGTGTGTGTGTGTGTGTGTGTGTGTGTGTGTGAGCCCAAACCAGAGTCATGTCTAGCGTCCTAGTGAGGAAAGGATGCTGGGTGGTTTGCTAGGAGCTGTTGATGTCCCAGGGGAAGAGGTTCTCCACTCACCTGGTGAGTGAGACTGTCTCTGGCCTGGGCTCCCTTCCCTGACCTATGCCTTCCTGCAGTGCCATCCTCCCCGCCCATTCAGTTACCTGGCACTGTCTGCCTGTTGGTCCTCGGGCAGTGGGGCAGACATGAGGGCTGGAGGACTGGCTGACTACTGTGGTCATCCCAGCCACATGCCTCTGAATAACAGCCCACACCTGTGGAGAGGCAGCTGCAGTGGGGGAGGGGAGTTGGTGGCCACAGGGCTCCCTCACATGTCTTGGCCTGGTGTCAGCCCATTTCTCCCTTATGAGTTGAGGACTGAGCCTCAGGGAAGGAAGGAATGAACTGAAAGACCATGTGTGACTGGGGAGCTGGGATTGGAGGGAGCCCGGAGGCCACAGGGGTGTTTCAAGTTAAAGCTGCAGAACTGTTGGAGGCTGGAAGCTGGAGAAGACAGGAGCGGGAGCCCCTGAGGAGGGTAGGAGGGGGGTTGGAGAGATGGCAGGCAGCCGAAGGGTCTTGAGTGGTTCTGAGTCCCAGTGCCCATCTGTGAACATCTCTCACAATTCTATTTCTGGTCGCTGAATCTGTCCCTCCAGTCACACTCTGTACAGTGGTGTCCCTTTGCTTAACAATGGTCCACCATTATTTATTTTTTGTTATCTTCTTTTGCAACCTGCAAATTCTGCTGTGTTTAAGACTGGCCCAAGGAGCCCATGTTCGTTGAAAGAACTTAAGGGTGAAACCCTTGCACGTGGTAAGGGATGTGCAGTCACGTCATGTCCTCAAACAGCGAGGACACTGGACACTGGCACGGAATCTTGCAGACTCTTGACCTTACGGGCTGAGAAAAACTGTGCCCTGAGTTCTGAACCTTTGAGGTCAGAGTGTTGAGCAGGAAGGCTCGCCCTGCTGCTATGCAGGTGAGTGCATGAGGCATAGGACAGATATCTCTGAGTGGCTCACTAGGCCCTGAGCTACAATGTGGTAGGCCAGGAGCCAGGATATGGCCGCCATGCTGGGGGGGGGTCAGCTTGGAGTTTTTCCTGCTGGCCTGGTCCAGGCTGGACCGTCCTGCTCCATTTCTCACCTCGATGATATAATCTCTGCCATCCTTGCTGTGGACAGCCTTGACAGCACATATGTCCAGGCCGCCGAACATTTCTGAGCAGCTGTCCACCCATAGCTTGTACCTGCAAAGACAGACAGAGTGACAGACAGCATGGGGTCAGAAGCAAGGCAAGAGGCGGGAGGGAGACAGGAGCGAAGGAGACAGGTGGAGACAGGAGCGAAGGAGACAGGAGGGAGCACTCAAGAAGTAGGGAGGATGAAGGGAGTCGGAATAAGAACCCAGAGGTGGCAGGACCTTGGCTCTCCAGCAGTAGGAAGCTGCCTTGGCCCCACCCAGAGCCATCCAGTCACCCAGACACCCCCTGCAGCCATTTCCCTTGGGAAAGCTGCTTAAAGGGCTCTAAAACCCCTCCAGGCTACCCTCCCTGCTCAGAGCTCCAGCTAGGCCAGAGCCTGTAGGGGACAAAGGACCTCATTCTCCGGGAGTGGGGGGCAGGGGAGCTCCTTCACACAGCTCCTGACTGGGGGCCTGGCCCTCTGGACCAATTGCTTTTGTTCCCATCCCAGTGACTGGCAGCTGCAGGGCCAGTTTTCTTTGTTGGGGACGGGCCTGGGCTGTGAACTTTGACTCTGTGACAAGGGGTTGGTTGTATCTGGGGAGATCTTCTGGGCAAGCTCTTGGCTTTCCTTGTGGACTGGATTTGGGAGCCACAGGGGACTTTGTGTCAATGTTCTTGCTTCTCTCCCTGCTCTCTAGGGTCACACGGGACACTTCAGCTCTCAGATCTGTCTGTATGTTTGAGCCACGTGACCTGGAATGAGGAGGAAGCATGGCTGACAGTTTCTAAGAACCCACTCAGGTTTTATCCGCCAGGGTCCACGGAGGCCTCTCTCTGAGGTAATGCAGCCGTACACCAATGAGGTCATGTTCATCTAGACCCCCAGCCCCAGCCCTCCCACCCAGCTGCAGCCAGGGGGATGCTGGGAGTAAAAGGCAGGATGAAAACCCATTCTGTGCCTGGCAGCCTAGCTCTTCATTCCTTCAAATCCAGCACAAACTAATCAAGGAGGGAGGGTTGAGCTCATTGTTTTCAGGTGAAGAAGCTAAGGCGGAGAGAGTAATAACTAACAGTGTGGCTTCCTGTCTGCATCCCCGTTGCAAGCAAGCCTCTCCTCCCTCTCATTTGGAGCCTGCCACAGCCTGTCTGTTTTTACTTGACATGGAAGAACTGGAGACAGAGAGACACAGAGAGAGAGACACAGAGAGAGAGACAGAGACAGAGAGACAGACAGAGAGACACAGAGAGACACAGAGAGACACAGAGACAGACAGAGAGACAGACAGAGACAGACAGAGACAGAGAGACACACACAGAGAGATAGAGACAGAGACAGAGACAGAGAGACAGAGACAGAGAGAGACACACAGAGAGATAAGAGACAGAGACAGAGACAGAGAGACAGAGACACAGAGAGAGACACACAGAGAGAGACACAGAGAGAGAGATAGAGACAGAGACAGAGAGAGACACACAGAGAGACACACAGAGAGAGACAGAGAGACACAGAGAGAGACAGACACACAGAGACACACAGAGAGAGACAGACAGGGACAGAGAGAGACAGAGAGACAGACAGACAGAGAGACACACAGACAGAGAGAGACAGAGAGAGATACACAGAGAGAGACAGAGAGACAGAGAGAGAGAATGAGTATATATGTTGGGTATGTATGCACATGTATGTACACGAGCTGTGGCAGGGTCAAAGTGAACCTTGGTGTTGCTCCTCAGGCACCTTCCACCTTGTGTTTTGAGACAAGGTCTCCCACTGAACGTGGACCATGCTGCACAGCGAAACGTGGCTGGCCAGCGAGCCCCAGGATCCTCCTGTCTCTCTCCCCCCTGTGCTGGGATCACAGCTGCATGCTGCCATACCTGCCTGGCACTTTATGTGCCATCTGGGGACTGAACCCATGCCCTCATGCTGCTGTGGGAAGTTCTTTATGGACTGATCTGTCTCTCCTGCCTGTGATCTGGATGTTTTCTATTATTTCCTTACTGATTTTGGATGAGCCTCTCCTTTCCTGATGCCTCAGTGTCCTTTATTTGAAGCTTCTTGTGCTTGGGACTTACAAAGATAATGAATGGCCAGCTTCTGGGCTCTACCCTGTGTCACTGGGTGGCCTCTACCTATTTTTACTGTTTCAGACAATGCTCTGACTCACGTGCAGTCACATTTGGTAACAATGTTGATTCTTGGGGCTTTGAGAGGCTTCAGGGAGCCAGGTGTTAGAGCTGCTGCTGGTGGCTGACTCGTAGGATGCAACGTGCTCAGGGAGCACTAAGCCCGAGACACACTCATGAGTCAGGTTCTTCCATGACAGATAGAAGTCTAGACTTAGGACTGGAGGCAACTGGTTTCCAGAGGTTGATTTCAAATGATGGCCATCTAGGTTGTGTGTGCATCATTCCAGGGGCAGAAGCCCCAGGGGCCAGGAAGTATGGGAAAGGTCCCTCTTCCACCACAAGACTAGCATTAATCAAACTGAACGGAAATTGCTCAGGAGTCAGGCTACCTAGCAGAGGTGAACCATGGAGGGGCTGGGCAGATTCTGGAGGAGGATTCTGGGAAACAGAGGCATAGTGTAGGATGCCAGAGAAGTGAGAGGTCCAGACCCTTTCTCCAGTAAGAGAAGACCATGTGGAAATAAGCAGATTAGCAGTTATGGGTTAGTTATTAAGTCAGAGCTAGCCATAAGAAACTAAGCGAACGGCCAACAGCTTCATAATTAATACAGTGTTTTGTGTGTTATTTGGGGGCTGAGACAGCTGTGGGACCCAGGCAGCTGGTGGGAAGAGTGCACGTTACACCTGTCCTGTGAAGGTTCCTGTTGGAGTCATGCTTGTGGATCGAGACTGAGCACAGTCACAGGATGGTGGTGTGCTGGAGATGTCCATCCTAAAACCCTGAGGCAATGGAGAGGGTGAGACTTACTGGCTGGGAGAGTCAAGAGGAAGAGGGCACTGGCTGTTCATGAACGCACCCCCCCCCCCCGTGGGAGGGGAGTGCTTGGTACTTGGCACAACCCCACTGGTACAAGGGAACTCCGATGGCAGCTGTGGCCGCATCTGGGCCTGCTGAGGGCAGGTATTCACCCTGGCCTGTGGTGCAGTCAGCCTTTCTGATGGCATGCAGGCCTGCCTTCATTTTGCAGTTGAGAAAGTTCAGAACTGTCTGTTGGCTTATCTAGAAGGGGCAGGGCACTCACCTTGGTTCATCTGGCTTCCTGAGCTTGTAGACCCTGAGCTGGGAGTTCCGCAGGGGCAGGGCTGATGTCTCTTCCCTCATCATTTTCCCTAAGGCCTGGCTCTAAAGTGCCCACAGTGACTGCTTACGATGTAGTTGTAGAGATGAAACCACAGCCAGCTCCTTCAGACTCCCGCTCATCCCTTAGGATGGACTTGAAGCCAAGCGTCAGTGTTCCACTCTCACCTCTGGAACATGGGCTGAGCACTTCCCTTCTCTGAACTCCTGCCTGTGTGATGCTGTTTTGACAGGTGCCCTGTTGTTGTTGCTGACCATAAGGAAAGCAAACTGGGAAGTGCTCCGTGGGACACTGGAGCAAGGCTGGAGTGCCATTCCCGTGGATGCGGGTGCTTCTCTCCAGGTACCCTTGTCTCTTACCTCTCAGTCATGGCCACCTGCTCCAGCATGGCAGAGCCTGTGTTGGCCTTCCAGTTTCCAGAGATGGAGGTCCTCCTGGGTTAGAACAAACCACACATGGAGGACATTAGGGATCTTTGCCCTTCTTTGCTTTGGTGGTTAAGAGAAATTGTTTCAAACACATGGCCCATGTCATACACAGAATGTAATTTGGAACCCGTAGCCTGTCCTCAACTTGATTTTTCTTTCTGTAATTCCCATTAATGCTGACTGATTTATTTATTCCTGGATGTTGTGTTTTATTTTCCAAACTTTTTTTGAAATTTAAAGATTAAATTGTATTTACTTATTTTTTGTTTCCTTTTTGTATTTTGTGCGTATTTTGTTTGCATGCTGTGCTCCATGTGTGTGCAATGCCCACAGAGACCAGAAGAGGGCACCAGACCCACAGAAACTGGAGTTTCTATTTACGGCCCTGTGAATGCTGGAAACCAAACCCTGGTTCTCTGCATGATCAATAAAATGCTCTGAACTGCTGAGCCATCTCTCCAGCTCCCAGATTAAAATTTAAATATTTTTTCTTCCCAACCTCAAACTTAAAACTTTGAAAAGGCTGCCACCTCAGGTAAAATGGCACAAGCTTTGGTGCTGCAGGATCCCCATTCCAGATCCCACATGCTAAGGCTTGGCATTTAGCATCTTACGGTGCTATTGGTAAGTGTCGGAATCTTTAGCAAGTGATGCCTGGGAAAAGGAGGTCTCGGTGGTCATGTCCTTGAAGTCGTTCTTGCCTATTTCTTGGCTTCCTGGCCACTATGAGGTGAGCAGCCTCCATGACTGTGTTACCACAGGCTCAAAGCAATAGGGACCAGTATCCATGAGCTGAACCCACTGAAACTGTGAGTCTAAACAATCCTTCCTTCCTTTTAAGTTGATTGTCTCAAGCATTTTGTTACAGTGATGGAAAAATGAGTGATATATATGACCTCTCGCTTTTGAGGAGAACTAGGACAGTGTACCACTTAGTGATTCTGTGATTTTTTTTACAGGTTTTAAAATGCAGGGAAAAATGATCTTAGGAATGAAGTGATTATTTTCCCATGGTGAAGAGTTGGGAAGGCTTTGTGACCTCTGCCTGCCTTCCTCCCTTCTCTACTCATTTTTCGGACTTCGTTCTGCTGCAGCCATGGCTGTCTTCCTTCTTAGTGCTTGCCCTTGCATGGCTCCTGTCCTACACACCCACTTTACCCTTTGCTCCTGGCAGGCTTTGTGACCACCTTTCCTTCCTAAGTCCTTGCCCATCTTTCAGGCTTCATTTGAATGTGGCTCCCTTGCAGCACACCTTCCTGGACTGAGTGTGGCTCCCTTGCAGCACACCTTCCTGGACTGAGTGTGGCTCCCTTGCAGCACACCTTCCTGGACTGAGTGTGACTCCCTTGCAGCACACCTTCCTGGACTGAGTGTGACTCCCTTGCAGCACACCTTCCTGGACTGAGTGTGACTCCCTTGCAGCACACCTTCCTGGACTGAGTGTGACTCCCTTGCAGCACACCTTCCTGGACTGAGTGTGACTCCCTTGCAGCACACCTTCCTGGACTGAGTGTGACTCCCTTGCAGCACACCTTCCTGGACTGAGTGTGACTCCCTTGCAGCACACCTTCCTGGACTGAGTGTGACTCCCTTGCAGCACACCTTCCTGGACTGAGTGTGACTCCCTTGCAGCACACCTTCCTGGACTGAGTGTGGCTCCCTTGCAGCACACCTTCCTGGACTGAGTGTGGCTCCCTTGCAGCACACCTTTCTGGACTTACATGAACTGTCCTTCTCTGCTTCCCCCTCTCCCCCTCTCCCTGGCACAGTGCTCTGGAGCACTCATCTAACCTGTCCTGACGGAGGAGAGGCCCTAAAAACAGGAAACATGCTTTGCTCCATCCCCTGGGCATACAGTTCCAATGAACTCAGCATGTAGTAGGTGCCCAGGGAAGATGTATGCTGGGGAGAACCCAAGACACATTTGGACCCCTGTAATCAGGTCCTCAATTAAATGTTTTGTTTTATAAGTGCCTTCATCATGGTGTCTCTTCACAGCAATAGGACAGTAACCAAGACACAGCCCATCACTGAGGAAAGCCAAGGCAGGAGGAGCTCAAGCAGGAAGCTGGGAGCAGGAACCAATGCAGAGATCACAGGGAATGCTGCTTACTGGTGAGCTTCCTGTTCATGTCCAGTTACCTTTTACCTTTCATATGTAGCCCAGGCCCATCTGCCCAGAGATGGCACCACCTACAGTAGGTTTGGTCCTCCTCCTCCAATTTGTAATCCAGAAAATGCCCCACAGACACAACAACATAGCCATCTGATGAGACAATTCCTCAACAGAGTCCTTCTTCTCAGGTATGCGTACGTTTGTGTCAAGTTGACAAAAACTATGACAACAATGTTCACAGGGTTAGCCTACATCCTGGATATGGTTTAGTCTAAGAGCATAAAACTGTACTCTCCTTAGGCTATTCATTTCCTGCCTTTACTGTCTTTGAGCCAGAGGACTAACACAGTAAATTAGCAATGGATCCAGGAAGCAAGAGAAATTCCAAAGTCACTGGATGTGGTCCCAGAGTGTATCCATTGAGATATGCCTTGGCAGATGAACAACAGTTGGCAAGTGAGTTGGCGGTGAACGAAGGTAAGAACTGAAGAACATCTTCTAGTGATACACCTTGGGCAGCGTGTCCAAACCTTTAACCTCTTCTTGGTAAAATGGGAACAATGTAGACCTTAGTGGGGTGCTGTGCGAATGACAGGAAATACTCCCATCTTCTCAGGACAAGTGGGCTGTGCTGTTGTTCTCAATAAGAGAAGACAAAAAGAAGGCACCTCAAGGGCTGAAGCAGCATGTACTCAAGCCAGGTTGCTCTCATTCAAAGAGGACAGTTGCGGGGAGCGCTGATGCCCGAGACAGCTTTAGGCATCTGAGATGTGTGTCCAGGAGCTTTACAAGTCAGCCCCACAGAACTGAAGGACCCATCACACATGCGTGGAAGGACCCATCACACATGCGTGGAAGGACCCATCACACATGCGTGGAAGAGCCCATCACACATGCGGAAGAGCCCATCACACATGCGTGGAAGGACCCATCACACATGCGTGGAAGAGCCCATCACACATGCGTGGAAGAGCCCATCACACATGCGTGGAAGGACACATCACACATGCGTGCAAGGACCCATCACACATGTATGGAAGGACCCATCACACATGCGTGGAAGGACACATCACACATGCATGCAAGGACCCATCACACATGCATGCAAGGACCCATCACACATGTGGAAGGACCCATCACACATGCGTGGAAGGACCCATCACACATGCGTGGAAGGACCCATCACACATGCGTGGAAGGACCCATCACACATGCGTGGAAGAGCCCATCACACATGCGTGGAAGGACCCATCACACATGCGTGGAAGGACCCATCACACATGCGTGGAAGAGCACATCACACATGCGTGGAAGAGCCCATCACACATGCATGGAAGGACCCATCACACATGCGTGGAAGGACACATCACACATGCGTGGAAGGACCCATCACACATGTATGGAAGGACCCATCACACATGCGTGGAAGAGCCCATCACACATGCGTGGAGGAGCCCATCACACATGCGTGGAAGAGCCCATCACACATGCGTGAAAGGACCCATCACACATGTATGGAAGGACCCATCACACATGTATGGAAGGACCCATCACACGTGTGGAAGGACCCATCACACATGCATGGAAGGACCCATCACACATGCGTGGAAGGACCCATCACACTTGCGTGCAAGGACCCATCACACATGTATGGAAGGACCCATCACACATGTATGGAAGGACTCTTGTCCTTGACTTGCATGAGATGCAACAGTGGGATGTAGGATGGAATGGAGATAAGGTCAAAGCATCTATCTATACTGCCGTTGCCTTTACGTATCTGGGATGAGGTAAGAGAGGACCATTAATTGTGTGGTATATAAACAACAACTCATTTCTTGTAGTTCTGGAGGCTTGGAAGTCCAAGCTCAAGTTGCCTAAAGATTCGTGTTTGGTGACTTCTTACTGTGTCTTCATGTAATGAATGAAGCAAGGGGTCCCTCTGAATTCCTTTTTCTAAGAACACTGCCTTAACTGTTAACTTGACACAACCTAGACTCATCCAAGAAAGGCATCTCAGTTGAGAGACCAACCAGATCAGACTGGCCTGTGAGCATTTCTGTGGGCAATGTCTTATTTTTTTTTTTTTTTTGGTTTTGGTTTTTACGAGACAGGGTTTCTCTGTATTGTTTTGGAGGCTATTGGTCCAGCCCGGCCTCGAACTCACAGAGATCCACCTGCCTCTGCCTCCCGAGTGCTGGGATTAAAGGCGCGCCACCACCGCCCGGCGAATGTCTTATTGTTAATTGATGTAAGAGGACCCAATCCACTGTGGGTGGCACTATTCCCTAGAGAGGTGGTTCTTGGCTATATAAGAAAGTTAACTATGCATAGGTCTATGAGTAAGTCAGTAAACAGCATTATTTCACGTCTCTGCTTCAAATTCCTACTTGAGTTACCATCCTGACTTCCCTCAGTGATGGAAGAGAAGTCGAAATAAATTCATTTTCCCCCCTCAAGTTGCTTTTTTTCAGACTGTTTTTCTGAGCAATTTATTTTTATTTTATTTGCACTGGCGTTTTGTACCTATGTCTCTGTGAGAGGGTCAGATCCTAGAGTTACAAACTGTGAACTTCCCTGTGGGTGCTGGGAATTGAACCCAGGTCCTCCTGGAGTACAGTCAGTGCTCTTGACCACTGAGCCATCTCCTCAGTCCCTGTAACAGAATGGAACTAGAACGAGCACTGATTGCTTTCTGGAAGGTCCTACCCTGAACCCCCTCTCTGAACCCTCTTCCTAAGCATAGAAGGGGTGGGCTTCACTTGAGAAGGAATGGACTTTTGATATGAATTCTGGGTGGGGATATAGAAGACCAAGTGTTCAACCTTGGAGGTGGAGGAAAAGCTTCCGGCCTGATCACCTTTGGACAAGAGTGAAGACATTAAGACTGAACATAATGATACTTTCTATAAGCTTGTGTGGTGGTTGGTAGAGTTGTTTCCCACTGTTTCAGGCCCAGGCTGAAACTGTTCACATGAATCGAGGTCAAGTAAATAGCTCAATGAGTGATAGATGGTGGAAGGCGGCTCTCTCGTGCTCCCTTCCCCCCTCCTCCCCCCTCCTCCCCCTCCTCCCCCCTCCTCCTTCCCTCCCTCCCTCTCTCTCTCCTTCTTTCCTTTCTTTTTTTTTGTTTTTTTTTCAAGATAGGGTTTCTCTGTGTAATGGTCCTGGCTGTCCTGGAACTCACTCTGTAGACCAGGCTGGCCTCAAAATCACAGAGATCCTCCTGCCTCTGCTTCCCAAGTACTGGGATTAAAGGTGTGTGCCACCACCACCCGGCTGGCATAGCACACAGACAGTAACCATAGAAGGCAAAATTGGGCCATATGGTACTGGATGAAAGTCTAGACAGCAGTGTGACTCCATTTAGAGTAATGCACATGCAGACGGATATATATAGAGATAATTGTACATGGATGCATGTGTGTGAGTGGGACTATGTGTGTACATGTGCCCTGGCTGTGTTTGTTAGGAGGACCTGAAAGCAGCAACACCTCAGAGGCAGCAAGCAGAAAAGCCTAAGTGCAGAACAGGCTGGGGCCAGAGGAGGGTGGATGGTTACGGGCAGGGAGGACACTCTCAGCCGAAGTGTGACACGGTTCCTTGGATGTGGACCAACCCAGGGTCCAGGAATTTCTGTAACCAATGACAGATTGGAGCTGTCAGGCCAGAAGGGCTCAGCCTGAAGAATGCAGCAATGAGGTAATCCTGGAAAAGAAACGGGGGCAAGGAGACACCAATGTCAAATGCAACCCTATCAATGAAGCGAGGAGGGAAATGATACTGTGGTGAAGCCGCAAGAATGTGCTGGACCACCTCACTGGGGTGAGCCAAAATGATCCCCCAAGACACTCTGAGAGGACATCTGAGAGCAGTAATGGCTCTGGCCTGCTCTGGGGGATAAAGTGGGTGATTGCCAGGATGGAACAGAGCTAGTCCCTGAAAACTGGCTTCATCTCTTTTCTGGAACTATGTCTTTATTGGTCAACTGCCTGCATTTCTTCCAGTGTCCCAGGCAATTGTACAGTTGCAACCAACTGCAGGGGTCAAAGCCTAAAATCACCCCAACTTTTTTATTTTATTTTATGTGTGGGTGTGTGTGCATATATGTGTGTATATGTTTGTGTGTGTATGTGTGTGGGCATGTGTGTGCATGTGTGTGTGCATGTGTTCATGAGTGTGTATGTGTGTGTTTGTGTGTGTATGTGTGTGCATGAGTATGTCTGTGTGTGTGTGTGTGTGTGTGTGTCATGTACCTATTGATGCTGGAGGGAAACCTGGGGTACCATCCTCAGAGCACCATCTCCCTCCTTTGCAAACAAGGTCTCTCATTGACTAGAGAGTCTCCTGTTGGCTTTTCCAGTGCTTGGATTACAAGAGCATATGACCATAAATGTTGTTTTTATTTTGTGACCAGGGTGACCTCCAACTCACAGAGCACTGGAACCAAAGGTGTTCACCACCACACCTAGCCTCTTACCTGGTACTTTTATGAACTCAAATTTCTGTGCTTGAAAATCAAATGCTTTACTCATCGAACCACCCCAGACCTATTTAAAATATCACACACACACACACACACACACACACACACACACACACACACACACACACACGAGTATGGAAGCCAGAAGTCAATCTTGGGTGCTGTTCATCAGGCACCATTGGCCTTGCTTTTTGAGACAGTCTCTCACTGTGATTTGGGGCTTGCCAGTTATGTCAGGCTGACTGGGCAATGAGTCCCTGGGATCCTCCCCAGGGCTGGGATTATAGATGTGCACCATCACATCTTTTTAGGTGAATGCTGGGAACCATCTCCCAGTCTCTACCTTTACACAAAGATGTATTTTCCTGATGGCCTAGGCAATCCAGGCAGTAAAAAAACCAAGGCAGATAACACATTCACGAATAAGCACAGCTTCGAATGACCTGCCATCTTTATAGAAGCAGGCGACAGCTTGGCTTGCCCACAGGATTCTCAGGCAAAGCTATGCTGCACAGAAGCACATGGACAGACAGACTGTCCAACCGGTGGCTAATCACTGAGGCTTCCTGATGTGGATCTGTCCTCACAGTCAGTGCTGCGTGAAGGCTACAAGAAAGTCACTCTTTGCTGTTGGGTCTCACCATCTGAAGTGGAACCAGGAGCACTATTCCAAAGTGAGGGGCACAGAGACCCAGACACCGGTAAGACTCTTCAAGGGAGAGCCTTCCCACTACTTCAGAGTCCCACTGAAACCGACAGCCTGAGTCCCAGGCTAGCCCATTCTTTGCTGACTCATAGTGAAGCGGAGGCAGGGCCAGCCTTTGTCACCTGGCATTCACGGCTCTCCTCTATTACTGCCAGGCCATGATCTTGCTCAAAGTGCAGTGACAGCTCACACTGAGGAGTGCTGCAGGGCTGCTGTGGACTCCTCACCCTGGCACTGTGAACGTCAGCTTGACTTCTGGCTGTGTACACGGGGCTACCGAATCCCAGTGCTTCTGAAATCAGTAATTTAGTGGGGTTTTGGTTTGTTTTCAAAATTTCCGATTACCTGTGATTTTCTAACAAATTGCCTTAAAAACCAAACATAATATTCAGAAGTAGTTTCTGTTGTTTTCAAGCAGAGAATCTGATGTGACTTCCTAGTGAGTTGTGTTGGTTCCAGAGAGTAACAGAGTGCTATTCCACACACACACTATACCAAAGCTTTCTCCTTCATTCCAAAGAAAACTCCTACCTTTCAGTAAGGTACTCTCAATGACTCCTTATTTGTGCAAATCTCTACACACACCTTTTATACAGAGGTCTGTCTTGGGCTATCTTCAACAGAACCAGAGGTGAGGACAAAGCATCATGGTAGAAGGAAGCAGGCTCCTCCCACTTCCTCCCAGCCCCACCCACTGACTCACATGTATGCCTTGTAGTTGGATCCAATCTTCTGTATACGAATGTCATACTTGGAGTCTATAAAGGCTTCGGTGGTGGCATAGGTTTTGGCCATGGCCACCACACTGGTGATGTCCTGGTAGTCATGCTGATTTTCTACTTTGATCTGTGGGGTAAAGGAGGACATGTGAGTATGGCTGTCCATCCATTTTCCATTGCACACCTTCTCAGACCAGGACACGGTACTCCACCAAAGACAAGTCACCTGTCTTGTGGGTACACAGACACAGGAGGTGAACAGTCTCACTGCCTACCTTCCCTAGGAACAGAAAAGCAAAGGGCTGGTTGCAGCTGGGAAGCAGGGACCCTTTAGAGAATATGTGAGCTCCTAAGGGATTCAGAATGATAAACACTTTTGTTTTGTTTGGAGACACAGTCTCTCTGTTGTACTCCTAGAGCTCTCTATGTTGATCAGGTTGGCCTCAAATTCACAGAGATCCTCCTGCCTCTGCCTCCTGAGTTCTGGATTAAAGGTGTACCCCACCACGTCCGGCCTGTGAATATACACTCTGGATGTGTGACTGGCTGGTGATGTGGGGGGTGGGGACAGGTATGAGGAACCTCAGGGCTTCTCGGGAAGAGTAGCTGGTCACCCGGTTGCTGTGGGTAGGAAGTGGGGACAATGGCTGCATGGCACTCTAGGGGACAGTTCATGAAAGTCCTGCGAGCTCCGATCAAATGCTCAGGTTTTAGCCAGAAGGTCTAGAAGCCACAGGAAGAGACTGGCGTTTAAAGAGCCAAGTGCACTCAGGAGGCAGAGGCAGGCGGATCTCTGTGAGTTCGAGGCCAGGCTGGACCGACAGCCTCCAAAACAATACAGAGAAACCCTGTCTCGAAAAACAAGTTTAGAAGCTTGGGGGAGAAACTTGCCCTGTTTACTGGGTTGAGGTAAGGAAGATGTCTCAAGGGAGCTCCCAAGACCAAGGACAGGGTACAAGATCAAGGCTCTGTGGCAGAGACCTCAAGACACTGCAGAAGCTGAATCCTAGGGTCTGTGGACAACAGGGTGGGGCGCCCCTTCCGGCTGGCCACAGGGACACTGCTTGTCTAGAGTGGCCTTCTCCCCTGCTTCTCTCACGTTGGCAACGGGACAGTCCGATGCTGGATCAGAGGCAGGCAGAACCCAAAAGCTCCGAGGGCAGTGGAAGTCTGGGTGGAGCCATGACTAGAGTGGGGCTGAGCCTCAGGGTACCTCCTGCTTTTCCATGTCCCTCCCCTTTGCATCTCCACTCTGACAGCGCCACGCCCTCTGTGGTGTAGTCCATTCACATTTGTACCAAGGGTATAAAGACACCCTCAGGGCCAAGGCGTGCAAGGGACACATGCGGTCTTTCTACAGACGAAAAGTCGATGCATTTGAATACAGAGCGTACAATTAAACTCTGACCCAAAGGCCCAGCTCTGTTGCTAACCAGCTCAGGTCTTTGCAGACTTTCTTTTCACCATGAGGGTTGTAAGTAAGCAAACCTTCTTTCCTCTTCACCCTTGAAGATGCCCAGGCACAAGTTGCAGAGAAAACGAGGTTGGCCAGGAAGATGTCCCTATGTTCTACTCTCTGCAACTCACGGGACCCTCTTTCCTCCCAGCTACAGCAGAGGAAGAAGTGTGCCTTGTTCCTTTATCTTAGGTCTCCTGAGGCTCTCACTGTTGGCTGTCCCCACCCTTTTAGCCACAGGACCCTTCAGTTTACGCTGGGCATCTGGTCTCCAAGATGCAGAAGCTTTTCTTCTAGTGTCATTTCCAAGTGGATGTGGTGAACTCTCTAAGCTCTAGCCAATGAAAACCACAGATGTGGTGAGTCACCTCCTGGTGGTCCCCAAAGCTTGACAGGCCTTCCTTCCTCCTTTCCTCCTTTCCTATGGCTGTGATGTGGATGCGGTAACTTGAGCAGCAGCAGTCATCTTGGGCAATGTGACAGAAGTCGAGGATGTTGAGGATGGCTGAGTGGTAACATGGAGGGAATCCAGTCCCCAGTATTTTGTACCTTTAGATTCTTGCAGAAGTGAGCAATGAATTTTACCTTGCTTAAAATTGCTGCTGTTTTGGTTTCTGTTAAAGAAGCTGGACTGTATTTTTGTCATTTAGTTTCAATCTCAATTTTTTTGCACACGATCACAATGGGATAAGTTAAAAAAGGATCTGCCATCTGCTATGTGGCACTTTGGTTTCTTGCCACTCTCTACTGGATGACTCTGTGTCTATATGGTCTTCTCTGTGTCTATATGGTCTTCTCTGTGTCTACATGGTCTTCTCTGTGTCTATATGGTCTTCTCTGTGTCTACATGGTCTTCTCTGTGTCTATATGGTCTTCTCTGTGTCTACATGGTCTTCTCTGTGTCTATATGGTCTTCTCTGTGTCTATATGGTCTTCTCTGTGTCTATATGGTCTTCTCTGTGTCTACATGGTCTTCTCTGTGTCTATATGGTCTTCTCTGTGTCTACATGGTCTTCTCTGTGTCTACATGGTCTTCTCTCATGCCACACTCTGCAGGTCTCATTCTCTTCCATCACACCGAAGCTGACTTGGCCTCTGTATTGGTTTACTTGGCACATTGCTATGTAAAGATAAAAGCAACTTGAAGAAGGGAGGGCAGGTTTATTTTGGCTCAGAGTTTGAGGGAAGAGTCCATCAAGGCTGGGAAGTCATTGTGGCTGGAACATTAGGCAGTCAGATCACATTCCATCTACAGTCAGGAAGCAGGGTTCTGAACGGCTGTTCACCTTGATTTCTCCTTTTTGTCAGCCTGGCAGTTAGGATGGGTCTTTGAACATTAATTAACCTAATCTAGAAAATCCCTCATAGACACACCCAGAGGTTTATGTCCAAGATGATTCTAGATCTTGCCAAGTTGGTGATTGACATGAACCACCCAAGCTTCCTCAGTGGCGAATCCTGTGGACCTCCTTGGGTTGCATCCTGTTGTGGCTCTGGGTAACATATGAAACTGGGAACTTTGAAGTTTGGTTTACACACTACTATTCTTTCCTTTTTTGGTACCTCCCTTTCAGTTGGTATTGCTTGTCTTGGTGTCTCTAGTGCCCTTTGGATAGCACTAGGGTTTCATCCTTAGTCAACACATGGGTTCAGGTGCAGGGATTCAAAGTTATCAGAAGGGAAGAATCCAGGGGAGAGATTACAGGGCCTGCATAGCACAACCATGCTTCCATCACTGGCGGCCTTGGAAAGGCTACAACGTCTGCTCCGTGACTTCCTCAACTACACAGCATGCACGATAGGCTGCCTCGAGATGTCTACTCTCCACAGCACCTTCTCCATCTGCAGTCTCTTCTGACCTGGGGACACATGACTGCCAGGGTAAACGCCACACTGGCCCTTTCCTCTAACACCTTAGTGTGGCCATGTGACAACATCTTGGTGTTTATGTGTGATCAAAGAATGGGTGTGGCTTCCCCTTCCTCTTGTCCTTTTCCTGTTGACTGGAATGTGGCCCACCATTGGCTTCATGGATGACAAGTGGATGATTCACATGATGGAAGGAAACCAGTCCTTTGAAACCAGAGAGGCTCTGTGCCAGCCCTGGGCTGCTTTTTTTTTTTTTTTACCCATTTCTATTAGGGGAAACAGAAACTTCTAGCTTACTTTGACAATCAGATTTTATCTCAATTACAATCTTAGTCTTAGAATGCATCTGGTTTTTTTTTTCCACAGTGGGGACAAAAGGGAATCTAAAGAGAAACTGTGGATAACAACAGTTTAATCAGAGAGCTGGTATATCAGTGCACCTTCCTGTCTGAATGGCCGGGTGGCGGGGGAGAGTGTCGCTCATCCTACCCTCTTTGAAAGCTGGCATAACTCTCCCACGGGCTCCTTCAAAAGAGCCAAATGTCCCTAGTAGCAGGATGCTCTTTTTGTTGTTGTTACAGAGGGTTCCCCAAATTGTACAATGCTGGGGCTCCACAAAATCCTGGCTCTTCACTGGGTCCACTGTGCCTGTCTCCTTTTAGATGCTGAGCTTCTCGGGGATGAACAATGGATTTGGTTTTAAATCATAACATTCATGCCTGTCACAGTGTAGGTGCTGAAAGGTGTTTTCCGGAATGAACATAACCTGGATGGAGATTAGGACTTGTAGTTGGGAGAGTGTCTTGTATAGAGGACAGAGGACTTGTAGTTGGGAGAGTGTCTTGGTATAGAGCACAGAGGACTTGTAGTTGGGAGAGTGTCATGGTATAGAGGACAGAGTGTGCTTTGGGGATGTGCATCTTTTCCACATTTCATGTGAGTGGCAGGTGTGTGTAGTCCATGGTTCGTGTCACGAGACATCCTCAGTCATTCTTCCACATTATTCAATCAAAGCCGGAGCTTTCCCATAGCTAATCTTGCTAGCCAGCTTTCTCAGGGCTCTCCCATCTCCACCTTCAAGGGAGATCTCCTTGTTGGAATTACAGGCAGGCTGCCATACTCACCCACCACTTATGGGAATTCCGGGATCTGAACTCCAGTCCTCACATTCCAAGGTGAGGGCTTAACCATGGAACCATCTCCCCAGCCCCTGGACAAGTGTGTTTTTATAAAATGAAGTGTTTCAGACGTCTAGGCTGGATCTACCCCATCAGAGAGTTCTATCTTCTGTCTGACGTTCCTGGGAACATAACGGAATCAGGGATCCTGGAGAGGACTCTGGGACAGTCCTTAGGCCATGGACGGAAGGTGCTGAGGGCCATGGGAAGCACGGCTGTTGGCTGTGGGATGCAGAGCTGGGCTCGGGCAGGAAGAGCGGTCCTCGGCCTGCCTGACTGGCTGGAAGGCCCCCACGGGTTCACAAGGACGACATGGAAGCAGGAAGGCCCAAATGAGCTGTGATTGAAAGGGGCCGTGTGCTCCCCGAGCATGGGGCTGAGAGCATGGACTGCGAGGAGCGGCTTCCCCGCCCCATCTTGCCGGTGCCTCTGCCCTTCCCCTCCCTGCCCCCTCCTCTTGCCATGCATGGGGCTGAGAGCATGGACTGCGAGGAGCGGCTTCCCCGCCCCATCTTGCCGGTGCCTCTGCCCTTCCCCTCCCTGCCCCCTCCTCTTGCCATCTCACGTCCTCCTTCCTCACCCGTCTTTCCTCCTGGGAGCATCTCTGCCTCTCCCTCTTTTACT